ATTAGATAGTTCTCTAAGTCCTTCGAACAATTATTATTAAAGATAAAAAGATATTATTATTATAATTATTTTATATAAAAATTAATAAATAATAGTTATTAAAACTTATTATAATAACTACTTTAAATAAAAGTATTATTAATCTTATTAATTAAGAGAATACGAACTAAATATTATAGATCTATATCGACTTATATAGCGAAGAGAAAATAGATTTAAAATATAATAATAATAACTCTTAGAATAGAATCTTAACGCGAAGAGTAAACTCTCTCTTCTCTCGCGTTACTTAGTTAGTTAAGATAGAGTGATTATTAAAGCGAAATATTAAGAGCGTCTTCGATATTCTTATATAAACCGAGTAGATCTATTATATCTATTAGTGGTGTTTTAGTTCGTATTCTAAACCTAATAAGAGAGGAGAATCTACTTTCGTTGTGAGCTTCTTCTCATAGTACTGTAGACCTACTCTCTAAGTAATGATAGAGTTAGATAATTCTTAAGTGTACTATATATTGTCGGACGAGGTCGTTCTATAAGATGGGAGAGGGAGAAATATAATAAGGCGAGGTGGCTATACTGTACTGAGCTAATAAAGCGGTGGTAGGTAGAGATTTATTAGGTTACATGTTAAATCTAAATAGGCTGGCAGAGAAGGGGGTGCGGAACAGTTTACAGTGCTAACAGAGTGTCATTCATTACAGTTTTAAGTAGAGCATCATGAATTCCATGGCTTTTTGGCGCTGTCTACCTAATTTCTAAGTGTTTTATTAGTCCTGTCCTGTTCCTCGATGCTGCCGCTGTGCTAGGTGTTCGTAGCCCTAGTCGCTGCCTCTCTGGGTGGTGTTGGTGGTGGTGTTGTCAGTATCATCTAGAAACGCGTTCTCGATTCCCGATCTGCTGGATAGGTCTCTGTGCGTTGTTGCACGTGCACGCCGAACCCTGAAGTGCTCTATTACAATATAAACTATTTATTATCTTTAAGCTCTACTTAAATTTAGAAGTTAAGATACTCTAAAATAATCGAAATTATTAGATTCTTTACTGTGCGCTTTCTAATCGAATCTATAGCGTAAATAATTCGAGAATTAGAATTGATATATATTAATTACTAATAATTAATCTCCCGTAGAGCTAAAAAGAAAAATAATCGTATCGTCGCCGGGGGCTGATCCACGGCAAGGCTGGAAGGATAGGACATGGTAAAGAAAAGGGGGCCTGCGAATCGTGAAGCCAGCAGCACTACCATTTGTTTTCTTCCCTTCTAGTTGTTGCTCTGTCCGTCGTCTATCGACTTATTTGGCATTAAATAGCCGCGACTTTGCGATAATGACGTCGAGCTCGACGGCCTCGTTCACCGCCGGTCTGGCAAGCGGAGATTGTGCCCCCAAAGGCGTCAACGGATCGTCTCCTTCCAGAGTGCCAAGGAGGCTGTGCTCGCTTTCACAGCCGCCGTCACTGTCTGCGTTCAAGACACTGTGCTCTCAGTCGACCAGCCGCGAGACCTATCCCCACGGGTCGGCCATCGTATCCAACATCCCCATCTACGATCTCCCCACAGATGCGGCGGCAGCTGACCCGGGTTTCATCGACGAGCTGCAAGACGAATGGCACCACATCCTCCTCTCTGGGCCCGGCGTCGTGGTCCTCCGCAACTTCACGCCAGACACGGCGCTGCTTGAGCAGGTCAACACCGTCTTCTCCGACATTATCGCCGCTGAAGAATCCGCCGCCGCCGCTGAGGGGCCACACAACAAAGGCGACCACTTTGCCGCGAGCGGGACCAATGCGCGGATCTGGAACTCGTTCCAGAAACACGCCGAACGGGACCCGTCGTCCTTCGTGCGGTACTACTCCAACCCGTACCTGGCCGCCGTGTGCGCCGCGTGGCTGGGCGCCGCGTACCAGATCACCGCGCAGGTGAACCTCGTGCGGCCCGGGGGGAAACCCCAGGTCAGCCACCGCGACTACCACCTGGGGTTCCAGACGGCCGAGTCCTGTGCGTTGTACCCGCGCGCGACGCAGGTCGCGACCCAGTTCCTCACGCTGCAAGGGGCAGTGGCGCACTCGGACATGCCGCTGGCCAGCGGGCCCACGCGCTTCCTGCCCTTCTCTCAGCAGTTCGAGCAGGGCTTCATGGCGTACCGGCTGCGCGAGTTCCAGGCCTTCTTTGACGAGAACTGGGTGAGCTGCGAGCTGAAGATGGGGGATGCCGTCTTCTTCAACCCCGCCCTGTTCCACGCCGCCGGCGAGAATCGCACAACCCATGTCCAGCGGTCCGCGAACCTGTTGCAGATCAGCAGCGCGTTTGGCAAGACCATGGAAAGCATCGACACCCTGGCCATCATATCCAAGTGTTGGGCCGAAGTGACGAAAATGTACGACACCGCCGATACCGACGACGCAGGGACGCAGCTGGGCACCAGGAAGAGAGTCCAGGCGATTCTGAGCGCGATGGGCAATGGGTATCCGTTCCCCACAAACCTCGATCGCCGACCGCCAGCGCCCGGCGGAATGGCACCTGAGAGTGAAATTGACATTCTTCAAAAAGGGCTGATGGGAGGTTGGGATGTTGCTGAGGTGGTCGCGGCCATAACAGCGATCCGAACAGACTCGATGCCATAGAAAACAAAACGAAATAAAATAGAAGAACAAGAAATCATAATATTCATCGTTGTAATCATTTCATGGCCGGAGAATTCTAATTTTCGGCATCCTCTACCACTCAGACTACCAGAGGAGAACAGGCTTGATCGCGCTCCCGTCCTCCATGCCGTGCAATGCCTGCAACGCATCCTTCGCCGGGAAATGCTTGACGATCTTCTCGATGGGGAACTTGCCATCGCGCCACCACTGGATCATGACGGGAATCCAGGCCTGGCCCGTGGTGTTGCCCAGGTAATGGCATTCGAACGACTTGTTGCCGCCAAAGAACTCCTGCAGGGGGATGGTGATTTGGGTCCCGGCCCTGGGGGCGCCGAGCTGGATGAATCTGCCATGGCGGCCTAGGGCCTTGATGCACTCCTGGATGACGGGGACGGCGGCCGTGGTTTCGATGACGATCGAGATGCGTTGGCCCTCGACGAGCTTCTGGACGTCCTCCGCCAGGCTGCCGCCGCTGGGGCTTTCTTTCGAGGTATCGAGGACCTTTGTGGCGCCGAGTTGTTTCGCGGTTTCGAGGCGATGTGCGACCCGGTCGACGGCGATGATCTCTTTACATCCCGCAATCTTGGCCGCCATCACTGCGCCCAGCCCGACTGCGCCGATACCCGCCACCAGCACAATATCGTGAGGCTTGGCGGATGCGCCGTTGATGATTGCCCCCGATCCTGTCATCAAGCCGCATCCCAGAGGCGCCAGCAACTTCAAGTCATCGTTGCTTTTGACGAGGTCTTTGACATTGACCACGCTTCCCTCTGCGACAATGCTCGTCGCGGCGAAGCTTGACTGACCGAAGAACTTGGCCGGAACTTCTTCGCCTGCAGTGGTCTCAAAGATTCCTGGTTCGCCAAAGATGTTGAGAAGCTGCCACGACGCACAGTACGGCTGCTGCTGCATATTGCAGAGGTCGCAGTTGGAGCAATAGTTGTATGACAGCAAGACCGGGTCTCCGACTTTGGCAACAGTCACTCCTGGCCCAACCTCCTCGACCACACCTGCACCTTCATGGCCCAACACTTTCGGGAACTTCATTCCCACAAGCCGTCCTGGAATTGCGGCGACGACGATGTCTGAATGACATATTCCCGTTGCGACCATCCGAATTTTCAGCTCATGTTCTTTGGGGCCCCGTGATACTTTGATATTTTCGAACCTCCAGTCCGGAGCCAGAGTGGTGGGCTCACACGGATAGGAGACCAGTGCTGGAATTTCGGTTGCCATTTTTCTGCGGTATAGAGGTGATGGACAGTCAGGGATTTCGGCAGCCGCTTTGAAATCTTGTTCACCAAGCCTTCAATTTATGTTGTGAACCGAGTCATGTTTGCTTACTCGGGCGCGCGACTCCCCTCCAGGGAGCAGTCCCAAGAATCTTCGCTGACAGGCTGCAGCCGCCGCATCAACTTGACCTCGGTAGATATTCCCCTGGCCTTGACATATTGGTTTAGGGTACCATACGAGGCAGAAGTAACAGAAGGGCGGCCCAACTCTTGCACAAGTGTTGTGCGCTGCATTCCCGCTGTCAGATCAGAAGCCTGGACGACGCCGAAGGACTCAGTTGATAGTTGCATCAATGGTTGTCAGCAAGTACGGAGTTGGTAGTTGCCTTTCCCGGGAATGCTCTTCCCCGCGTTGTGATCCGTTCAATACGATTGCGGAGCGAGGTAGTGCTTTTTGGCGTACGAACGCACACGCACAAGATGTCAGAGTCTTCCATCATTCAGCTCCTTGGACAAGGTATCGCTATTCGTGGATTCCCCTTGCAGCTCTACGACCTGTCGCTTGGCAGCATCTTTTCGCAGTGAATAGGTCTTCCGTCGGTTTGACACCGCCTCGATCGAAGCGCTTGCGTCGGCATTGACAAGGAAGCTGTCGAGCACGCCAATGGCCAAAGTGGGTAGGATATTGCCGGTTCAGACCGTCCTCCAGGTGGGTCAGCGCAAGATTCTGGGGTGGCCTTGGGTGGCTTACGACCGACTAGCCCCCATTTTCCGTATGCGAAACCCTGTGTCAGCAGGAAAATCTGACTCTTTCGCACTGCACTGGTCCTGGACTGCGCTTCATTTTGTGATTAGTCCTGCATCGACGGCCTGATTCTCAGCTCTCGCTAGGCTGGAGAGCAGGGAAGCGCTGGCCAAAGCCTAAGGAAGCTGGCAATTTTTGATTTGCCCGGCACAACAGAAGTACATGGCAATCCAGGTGCAGAAATAGCTGAGGTCTGGATCAGTTGTAACCTGCAACATGGGGCGACCCGTGACAATGCGTCTCTCGGACATCCACCTCTTACTTCCTACTCTTCTATTCGTCGTCAAATGAACATTTGCGAGCCAATCTGTACCGATAGGAGGACGAGCACTACTGACTTCTGCAGGTTGAATATCGAAGTCGTCCAGGAGGATAGGCGGTGCCAGCTGTAAAGGTCGAACACCGGACGCCCAACTTCAGATGTTAGACAAAGGTTCGAACCCCGAGCGCCAGGCCCCCGACGGTGGCTGATAGAGCTTTCTCGTTTTGCTGAGAGGGGCAGTGGGTTTAGAACGGGCCGAATGGGATCAGATGGAGGTACAAAGGTGAGGAGTGACGCGTGGGGCGGTCTTTTCGTGCCTGCAAACTTCGTCAGCTTGGATGGAACATGAAGGACGGAGGGCGACTTGACAATGCTTGCGATTCGCAGAGACGCATGTTCTCCGTTGATGGAAGTGGGAGGCCTGTCGCTGCTTGCGAGTGCACGGAGACCTGAGGACAGTGAGGCAGTTGAATGTGAAAGTCGCATCGTCCATAATGGTGTCAAACAAGGTACAGTGCTCTTCTCCAAAGCTTTGCACAAGGCAAAGAACAGTGATGAAAAGGACAAAGATGGATTGTTAGAGGGACAAAAATTGCGCTCGCGGAAGACTCAAGAGTGTTTCCGGCACAGTCACCAACTCCAATGTGCAATGGAATGATATCTGTGCAACAACTTGAATGCTTGGGCTCAAGATGTTCGAACAAGGTAAGTATGAAGGAAGAAAAAAAAGGAGAAAGAGAAGGAGGAGAAAGTTGGGAAAGGGAGGAGATATTTATACCATGGCAGATGGATGCAGGTTGATCTGGACTTGGCGGCGTTTCTGATCTGATCTGATCTGTCTGTCACTGTGATCACTTCACATGAAACTCATCGCCAAGGGACAATGATCAGGAAGCGGCTGATCTGTCACTCTGTCGCTCTGTGATCAGGTGAAGCTGAAGCGGGGAGTCATCCGACAATGAGATGGGAAGATGTACACAAGGCTGGTGGCGCCTCCCATTGGCCAGGTCCAATTTCACTTCAGCCTTGTCTGATGCTTCGATCTCCATGAGCACTTGATTCAATTCACTGGGCAGCAACTACAGCACACTTTTGACTGGTTGCCCGACAATGAACCCCTCTCGTACAGGTGGTTGAACATGTAGTTCATTGTCTCAATCATTGCTATGGACACGATGTGGTGTTCGCCACAACCTGGGATCTTTCATAGCGTACAAATAGACCAATCCCATGCTATGCCAATGATATGCCAATGCGGTGCCGTCGCTGCAGTCACAGTCATAGCCCTCGACTTCCCTTACAAGGATGTATCATACTCCTGGTGGAAGGTTTCCAACATGTCCTCGATATCCTCAACCTCTCCAAGGTTGTCTGCCGCGAGAATATCGTCGATAGTCGCGAGGCGTGCCAGCAATATCGGCGTAGTGACACCATACATCAAGACTTCTCCCCACCGAAGAACATCCTCGCATTGGTATTGTTGGTCCCGGACGAAACAGAACGCTTCTTCAAACATCACCCTCAACCCACGTAGTCCTGCAAGGCGGTTGCGGCCGAAATAGTCCGTCTTTTCCACTTCCAAGCGGCGCTCGGCGAGTTCGCGATCCACGGTTGTAATGCGGACATATTTGCCGATCATCCTGCGCTGCTTGCGTGCTGTTCCGCCCCGAAGGCCGCGCTTGCGGATGTCCGGGTTGTCTTCCCAGAGCTCAGACAACTCATGCTGGATTCTAGCTTCGTGTTGGTCGATGGTGGTATGGGCGGTGCGGATGAGGTCGGCGAGAGTATAAAGACGGTCGAGGTGCTCATGGATGGCGCCGAAGTTGATGAACAAGGCGGGGTCGAGTTTGATATCAGCTACGGAAACGAATGTGGTTTGTGCTAAGAATTCCGACGATGGTGGTTCGTACTGTTCGATCCCTGAGGGAAAATCTGCAAATATCAGGAGATGTCGACGGCCATGAAGAACAGTCCTACCGTAGTCTTCATCCTCAACCTTCGGGACCGCCATGTCTGTCTCCATTGAAGCTGTGTTGTCAAATGGACAGATTCACGGAGGTGAAAGTTCGATTGAGAGTCGAGTGAAGAGAACCAACAGTGATTTCGGTGGTGCAGCAGAATTTTGCGGTTGAGCCATGGAGTTCACATCTTCACACGCGAGGCTGGCAAGCTGTGATGTCCCTCCGCAGGGTTCGGCAGAGTATCGCTTCCATCCTCGTTTCCCCAGAAAATTTCGATGAAGAGCGTGGACCATCGACCAAGTCCATTGCATGCCCAACACTGCTTTTCAAGATCAACAATTCCATCTTGAAATCCGCTGACCTTCATACCGAGCGAGCCTTCCGAACTCGCGTCATAAGCTGACCCAGAGACACGTCTGGTCCCGACAAAAGCGTGAGCGTCGACCGTCCCGCAAACATTGCAGCAGGTCGCTCCGACACGGTGTGAGGAGGTATTCTCTCCGAGCTTGTACCTTCATTCGAAGACTCCTCAATATCCTCGAAGCTGGAAATCCGTTTGATAGGTGATACCTGACGTGTGGACTCGAGCACGGCCTTGGAGACAAGATGCCGTCTGGATATAGGGACATAGACAACCTACGAGTTCCATCAACCCATCACACGGAATTGGATTTTTCTCGAGAAAAAAACAAAGCTGCGTTACCGCGTTGAGCAGGATTCCTGTTGTGGAAGTGGGCGCACAGTGATCTTGGGTGCGCAAGGTGACAATCTCTGCCCCAATTCGCTGATTTCTGTACCTGTGTATGAAGTTCCAGATCTCAATTATACAAGCCCCAAGTTCAAAGAGGGGTGAAACATTGGGGGTGGTTGTGGGGGGGGGGGGGGGGGAGCCATGCTGAGAGCCAGTGACCGAGGGCGAATAAGGAGCAGGGCGCTTTGTCATACATCCAGCGACGAAAACTGTAAGGGATTGATTGCCGGCGAAATGTGGATTTCTTTTGACCTCACGCCACCATTATGTACATAGACCCCACATGTTCAATCTGCATGTCTATATTACCCCTCCATTTCAACCGATTTTCTTTTTATTTTACTTCACAGTCAACCCCAAACGTCGTAACGACCCCTGAGCGGCTTTCAAATAAATAAATCCGGACATTTGGACTGAAAGAACCAGCACGATGCTCATCGAAGAATCGTACAAAGATGTGCCGACCAAGGCGGCGGGAGAGGGTTCAATGCGTATGGCTTCCGCCACCTTACACAGCTCGGATGTGAACTCAGGCTGAGCGATGAAAATGCAAAAGGAATCTATATCTTCCATCCCACTATCCCTGGCTACCCAGGTGCCAAGTTTCCCGGTGTCGTTGTGTTCTCGGAAATCTACCAAGGTAAAGCTTTGTCAAACATCCTACACACACCAGACTCTTCATCAAGAACCCGGTAGAGACTGAACAATTTTGCTCCAGTGACCGGTCCAGTTTGCCGCTTTGCCCGCCAAATCGCCGGCCAAGGCTACATTGTCGCTGCACCCTCGTCCTACCACGAATTCACTGGTCCCGAGCCGCTGGCCTACGACGTGCCCGGCACCGATGCGGGGAACCAGTGGAAAATCACCAAGAAACTCGCCGCGTACGACGAGGACGCGGATCTGGCCGTCTCGTTGTTGTTGGGGTTGAAAACGTGCAATGGCAAGGTCGGGGCTACGGGGATGTGTCTCGGAGGCCACCTCGCGTATCGATGCGCATTGGATCAGAGGGTCAAGGCCGCCGTGTGTTTCTTCGCCACGGATATCCACAGTCATAGCCTAGGGGAGGGTAAGAATGACGATTCCCTGAAGAGGGCGGGCGACATTAAAGGGGAATTGATCATGATCTTCGGAAAGAGCGACAACCATGTCCCGCCCGAGGGTCGGGATTTGATCAGAAAGACGCTGCACGAGAAGGGCGTCGAGTTTTCGTTCTACGAGGTCTTTGGAGCGCAGCATGCCTTTATCAGGGACGAGTTGAGTAAAGGAAGGTACGATCCAGCGGTCACCAAGGTGTGTTTTGAGATGTTGCTGGAGCTCTTTGGGCGGAGGTTGAAGATCGATCTGGGTGAGCCGAGCGGGGAGAAGCTCGTCATCGAGGACGTATGTTGAACAGAAAAAAAAAAAAATAAAGCATGGCATTCCCCTTTGCAGAGAAACTAAGACGTCAATAGTGGCATAGATTTCCTAGAGCCTAGAGAAGACAGCATTTGCCAACCATTCACAATTTCGCCTCAGGTTTCTTGTCATCTTCTCCTGTCGACTTATACCCAAATAGATACGCGGCGACCTTCCGGATCTGCACTTCTTCGCTACCTTCGGTGATCCGATACCTTCTGAAGTGTCTCCAGATATGTTCAAAGGGGTAGTGTCGCGAGTATCCAACGCCGCCGTGGATCTGGATCGCTCGATCCGCAGACTCGCAGCACAGACGGTTGGCGTAGTAGTTGCACATGCCAATCTTATGGCCCAGTTGCTTCTCGATGGCAATCCACGGTGCGGTGCCGTTGGCTTTGCATGCCGCTGTGACTTGGTCCATTTCCACGGCGGTGCGGAGGATCAACAGTCTCAGCATCTCGGCCTGGGTAGAGAGCTCCACAAGCGGCCACTGAATGGCTTGGTTTGCCGAGAGAGGTTTCCCAAAGACGGTCCGTTTCTTCGCGTACTCGACGCTGCGGTCGATGCAGTACCGTGCTGCACCGCAGCTGGAGGCCGCCTGTCGAATACGATTTTCGTGTGTGAATGTCTGCGCAATGGCCAGGCCGTTGTCCACCGGCCCAAGGATAGCGGAGGCAGGAACTCGAACTTTGTCGAAGAGCACTGTTGCGTGGTCGGTCGGCATGTTGAGGGTCCATTCGTATGAAGCGACAGTCAATCCTGGCGTCTCTCGGGGAACGATGAAAGCAGTGATGCCCTTTGGAGATCCGTTCTTACCCGAGGTTCGCGCGAAGACCAGACAGTGCGTGGCGGCGTGCATGCCAGTCTGCCATTTCTTGTTGCCATTGATCTCATAACCAGGCTCGCCGTTGGGCATGGTGATCGGTTTCGCCGTGGTGTCCATATGGGTTGCGTCGGAGCCGTGATAGATCTCCGTCAAGCCAAATGTGGATCTAAACTCACCCTTGATGCTGGCGGGGATGTACTTGTTCTGCTGCTCCTTTGTGCCGTAGTGGTGCATCATGATGATAAACGGATTGTTGCCGACGACGCTGTGTTCGTTCTGCAGGTCATTGGCCAGACTCACGCCGCCTCCATAGACCGGGTGGGACGACAGATGGTACCGAATGGCGCACATGTACAGGTTCTGCTGCTCACTGCCAGCACCGCCAAACTGCTTTGGGAAACCGAACCTATAAAACCCAGCTTCGTCGGCCAGTTTGCGTGCTTCGCGGAGGAGATTCTCCCACTCGTGAGTAGGGAGGCCTTGGTTGTCCCATTGCGTCCGGGAAGATTCGCGACGATGGTCGAAGAAGCGGTTGTTGTCGTCCTTGTGCTGGAGTGGGAGAATCTTGTCCTTGATGAAAGTGTCGATGCGGGAGATGTAGTTTTGAAGGTCGGTGGGAAGCTCGAAATTCATTGTGGCTACTAGGTCGTAACAAACCAATTAAGCAAGAAGAAACTGGAGGGAAACTGGAGATTGGCCTTCTCAGGAGATTCTACTTCCACCCCATTTATCTGTGGTAGAGCTATATTTCTGTCGCCGTGGTTGTGTCGGCTTGTCGATGCGGAGTAAGGCGAGGCTGATCTGGGGAATCGTTATCCTCGGATGAAGGATCCTCGGTTCACTTGGGTAGCCTGATCTCTGTCTGATGCGCCAGATCCCCAGTATTGGTATTTATGCCTTGCCGTAGTCGCGATCCTGTGAAGCACGAAGATGGATGATGCATTCTGCTAGTCCCTACTCGGCTTGGTATGCCACCGAGGTACGGAATTCCGAGTACTCGTTCTGGACCCCTGGACCCCTAAACATAGTGCCTTTTTTTCAGCTGAGTCACATCGCAAGGAAAGCCCCCGTGCTGGCCCTGCTCAGCCCTGGTCTGATTTTCCAACGGTCTGGAGATCAGATGCCATTGATCCCTGACTGGCGGCGCTCAAAATCGCGACCGTTGCCTGCTGCCGTAATTGTTGTCCTATCTTCATGTATATGGTTTTCAGAATCTCTGTCGACTTGGAAGGTCCGGAAGCACCACCTAAATCTATGTTGTCGGCCACAAAAAGAAGGAGAGAGAAATGAACCCTAGTACGAGGTACATTCTCTGAGAAATTGGCTTGCTGTTAATTGTCGCCTAGCACAAAGACTGGATCTCAGGTCAATCCGGGTGGAAGCATGGACGACCTTGTAATAAGCAGTTGAACGACCAAGAGCGGTTATGAAATTCCCCTTTTCTGATAAGACTGGCTTGTGGTGATGTCGCAGACAAGGATTGTCTACAAATCTGAGCTTACGCACATCAACATTCCTTTTTTTTTATCAGACGGACATCTCAATGGACGCTTGCACATCAAACCTGGGTTTTTAATTCGTGCGGCGAGATCACTTGGGAGATGACTGGCGTGATGCAAAAACCACCTACCTACAGTACATACGTGGGAGACACTACAGCAAGATAACAGATCCGCCGCCCGATGAGTGGACGGATGATGACTCCAAAACTGAGTTCTCGTAGCGAGATGCGGATGCAAGCACATGTTCTGTCCCACACGGCCACGTTGGGATCCCAAAGATGCTGAGTGGCTTCAAGGCGTGATCGGTTTTCAGGCGCGTTTCTCTTAACTCTGGCGAAGGAGAACCAGGCAATTGCTGCCCCTGTTCGAAAGGCCACCAGGGTTAGTTGTACCATGGCAAGTTTGTTTCGGATCTTTGCCGCATACTGCCCGGGACGCGAAAGGTGCAAGTGTCCCAATCTCGTTTACAAAGTAGACTCACCAAGACGAGAATGTCGGTATGAGGCCATATCATTGGTCTCAGCAGGAGCGGCGGCACTGTTCTCTATGCGACGCCGATTTACGAGTATGCGCCTCTCTGACGGTTCTCCGCGAATGATGAGAATGCTAAAACCAAAAGATCTCGTCGATCACCCACGCAGATAGGCGAATATTTTTTGAGGCTGGCGCACCTTATCGCGAGTACAGTGCAGGACCAGCTTCCAGTATGGAGAACATATGTAGGTTCTCCAAATATGCCAGCTCCAAGATATCAGCAAAAGCCATGCCGAACTGAGTCAGGAGGCTGAGTATTCAATCACGTCCCCATGTACCTCGTAAGCAAAAGGGAAAGCCGAGACTTGAAGCATAAAGAAAAACGAGGCTCAATCTCGGGATGCAAGCCACGGAGCGCCAAGCTCGAATAGTTGCGCCACACTAAGCCGTTTTAGGCCTATCCCTTCTCCTTTTTTTCAACTGCGACTCGCTTTGCTCACTCCAAACCCGGAACAACGCAAAGCTGATTCCGTGGCTTGATCACGAAATTTCTGGACCAAACACCCCACAGCCATGGCGCGACTTTCACTGGTCTTAGAATTCAGCCCCTTTTGAGAACGATGACCGGGGTACTCCAACGCGTGTCCTCCTTGAACTGCCAAACAAAGAATGGCGGCTATCGTCGAAGGCAGCGATCATCAATGTCACTGGCGTGTAGGACCCGCCGGAAAAGCCTCATGCGTCTTCCAGCCATGTGGCGCTGATCCCTAACAAGGGAGAATCCTGGCGACCTGTCAGATCATTCGATGATGGTCTGAACTACTCGGGTAGGCTTTGCAGTGCTGCCAGTAGTCGCGGGAGGCAGATGTACTTCGTTCACACGCTGGTCTAGCCTGCGGAGTACGCCCAACGTTCTGAGGCGGGGGGAGGCATCTACTCTACCTGCAGACCTCTCCTCCTCTTCCTTCCTTTCCTTTGGTAAACCGTCATTGCGTTGTCGACTGGCACGCGTCCGCTCGTTCTTCATATCAGCCGCTCTTTCCTTGAGCTGTTGCTCAATGCAACATGCTGCCATTCTTTTATTTTCTTTTGTTTTCTAATGTGGCTTTAGGTTCATTGGGAAAATGGGGCGGTTTCATGCCATGGAAGAAGAATTTGTTGGAACGCGACGTTGAACCGACCTGCTCTTGTACTGATCCAATCGCCGCTGAGTGGGCAACAAACAAATTCTTTGCGGATGCTGCGACTTCTGCTGCGACCCCGGCTGGTTATTATCAAGCATTCAACAATGGACAAGCGTGGATTTCAGGAGATGGGTTTATTGGACACACGACAATTGATGAGTACGACAGCAGTATCTGTGCGGCCATTTGCGATGGCATTGATGAATGTTCCTCATTCGAGATCTACTTTGAGAAGGAAATTGGTGGTCCAGCTCCAGCAATCAAGTGTTCGTTTTGGGCTGGAGCAATTGCTGCCAGTGGTTCTAGCAGCACAAATGCCGTGATCGCCGGTTGTAATGGCTACACTAACAGCACCCTCACAACTCCCAAAGGGTTTGATATTCCGGTGTTCATGGCGGGCGCGGCAATTCATCCACCACCGACTCCTGGAGCATTCCTCGGCTCGAAGATCTTTAATGGACCATTCGACACGTCGAATTGCGCGGAGGCGTGCAGCTCAATCGGCTGCAAATTCTTCAACACCTACATTGTCTCTAAGAATGGTGTGAACCAGGGCCAATATTGCGACATGTACGCCCAGCCATTCGGACCAGAATGGGCAACAGAAACCGGAAGATCGGATGGGAAGACAAATTTTACTATCTCTCATAGCTTTGCCTGCGGTGCGACCGAAGAAAAACGCGGTGAGAGTCTGTCTAGCGGCGAACCCGGCGCTCCACCGGCCACAACACCGGCCAGCGGCAATGGCAAGGGAGGTTCCTGGGAAGAGCGGCATCCTTGGCACGGAAGTAGCCCTTATGCGGGCAACAGTGCCAGCAGTGCCAGCCAAAGTACACGGTCAAGTTCCTCGACTTGGAAGCGCGGAGATCAGACGTCTCAAGCAGGTCCTGCGCACTCGACAATTGTTGCTTCGCCGACCGGCAAGGGCCAGAAACCTGCAACTGGCTCTTCGACTAACAAACCCGACGGCCACTCAGGAAGTTCAGACCCTGTTGATGCAACCAGCGTGAATCCATCCTCAGTCGCTCCAACCTCGACTGGTCTAGGGGATGCTGGCACGAGCCACAGAGGTGGACAGCCGACCAATTCGAGACCAGGGCGGCCCGGTCGTCCCAGTAGCTCAGTGGGCAACCCCGTCAAAGATCACCCTGGAAGCAGCCCTAATGGCTCTGGGACTCCAGCTTCTTCTACTTCAGAGACCCCGCAAAATCCTGGCTCCTCCGCATGGGGTGACTGGGATAACTGGAGTATTACTACTCTCTCAACCCCAGGTGCAACCTCCTTGCCAGTAGATGCAACATCTCAAGGAACAAGTAGCAGCTCGACATCTAATGTTGATAGTGTTGACCCTACCAGAACTTCGACTCCCTCGACGACCAAGTCAGGTAGTACCTCTCATTTTCTCCCGCCCAGGTCGACTGCTGCCTCTCATTCAGGACGAGGGGGGTTTGGCGGATCTCAGTCCCACGCACAAGATTCCATTTGGCTCGATTGGACATCTTCTAAACCGTCGATCGTTTCCCCAACGACTTCGACCTTCACTACCCATTCAGTTGCTGCTGCAAGCACCAAGTCAACCACGAAGATCAGCTCTGCTCCTAGTGGCCGGCCAGGCCGGCCGGGTCAGCCAACTCGACCTCCAGTCGGCCGTCCACAGACAACGCCAAATAGAGCGAATGGTGGCTCTAGTGATTGGGCAGATTGGGGAGCGTCAATAGGCCAAAGTTCTTCGGACGCCATCACTACGACGACGGCGGCCCCATCGAAGCCGGTCGAAGCTACAACGATCAGATCTACATCTGCCCATGCCTCTAGTCCTAGTAGACAATCTATCACTCGGCCGACGCGCCCCGGGGGATGGCCGCAGCCATCACATACTCTGTCTCAGCCCACATCTAGCGCTTTGCCGGTAGATGCTCTTACAACAACCTCCTCTGGATCCACGACACCTTCGAGTCCGAAGGAGTCGAGGTCTTCCGGCTTCCCTTGGCCGTCACACAGTGGAGCGGAGGCAGTTTGGCTTGATTGGTCGTCGTCATTGACTTCAAGTTCTCTCGTGGTTGATGGAACCACAACCACTGTTCTCTCGACAGTTAGAACAACAACGAAGGATGCAAGGCCGAGTGTCTCTGCCTGGCCTTCGCACAGTGGCACAGAGAAAATATGGCTAGACTGGACCACATCGTCTACCTCGAGCTCCCTCTCCGTCGGTGCGCTCACTACAACATCTTCTCCATTAACTACGTCCACAACGAAAGGCTCGAGACCGACCGGCTCTGCCTGGCCTTCCCGTAATGGAACAGAGCAGATCTGGCTGGATTGGACCTCTACATCTTCAACTTTGAGCTCCCTGCCCGTTGTTGCAGCGACAACAACCTCGAACCTTCCGACGACTACTTCCACAGCTTTCTCGAGGCTGAGCGGCTCTGCCTGGCCTTCAGAGAATGGAACAGAGCGTATCTGGCTTGACTGGACTACTAGTTCGTCCACGTCCAGCTCCCTCTTCGTCGCTGCCGCCACAACAAGCTCAACCCTCTCGACGTCCACTTCTCCAACGTTCTCGAAGCCGAGCAGCTCTGCCTGGCCTTCAGAGAATGGAACGGAGCGAACGTGGCTGGATTGGCTTACTGCTTCTTCTACTTCCAGCACTTCCAGCTCTTTGTTTGTTGATGCTGTTACAACGAGCTCATCTATTCCCACAACCTCTTCAAATGGGTTTAGGCCTACCGGCTCTACCTGGCCCTGGCCTTCAGAGAATGGCAGTGCATGGGAGGATTGGAGTCGGACGACTTCGCACACGTCAACTGTCCTCTCTGTTGCCGATGCTACAACTTCAACCCTTCCTACAACCACATCCGCGACAAGCTCTAAGGCGGCTCACTCTTTGTGGCCATCTGAAAATGGCAGTGTATGGGAAGACTGGGGTAGGACAACTTCATCTAAATCAACTATTCTCTCTGTTGCCGACACTTCAACTTCGTCCCTCCCTACCACCACGTCTAAGGCAAGTTCAAGGGCTATTTACTCCACTTGGCCATCTGAGAACGGTAGTGCTTGGGAAGATTGGACTAGGACAATTTCATCGACGTCAAGTGCTCTCTCTGTTGCTGATATCACTACCAGTTCGTCCCTGAGCACAAGCACGGCCACAACAAGTTCTAGAGCGGGATATTTTGCTTGGCCGTCTGAAAATGGCAGTTCGTGGGAGGACTGGAGTAGAACAACTTCGGCTTCCTCCACCTCTAGTGTCGCCTTCGTTGATGCTGAAACCACAAGCTCTTCACTTCCCACTACTTCGACTCAGAGTACTAGATCCTTTGGCTCCAGCTGGCCATCGCACAGTGGCAATGACTCTTGGGAGGATTGGGCCGCAACTTCTACTTCTTCACGTCTGAGTGTTGATGCTCTGACTACTTCTACTTCCAGCCTCGCTACCACCACATCGACGATAAGCTCAAGATCCAGCTACACCTCGGCTCCGTCTTACAATGGGACATACAGTGGGAACGGAACATGGGAAGACTGGGCTAACTGGCTGAATCTGACTTCTGGGACTTCAACGTCTACGAAGCTGCCTGCTGATGCTTTGACTACGACCTCTAGCGTCGCGACGACTACCTCGACAACTTCAAAATTCGCTATTCCAACATCGCTCTACAGTGGAACGTATCCGAGCAACTTCAGTTGGGAGGACTGGGAGACAACAACATCTACGTCGTCGAAATTAGTTGACGCTTTGACGACTACATCTAGCTTAGCAAGCACAACTTCCACGAGGGCTTACTCGGGCTATCCTTCTCATAATGGGTCAATGAACGGCACCTGGGAGGATTGGGAGGCGACCTCCACGACCTCTCTCAGGTCGACTACTTCGTCCTTACTGTCGGTTGATGCCATGACTAGAACCACTTCAACGACGACAAGCTCTGTAGCGACAACCAGCTCTACTCGATCATATCCAGGCTATCCTTCTTACACCGGAACTGTTACCTGGGAAGATTGGAGTCCAACATCGACATCCGTAAAGTCGACGAGCGCTTCCCTCCTGCCGGTTGATGCCCTGACGACAACGAGTTCTGCATCCTCGACAACCTCCGTTTTCGCATACCCAGGTTATCCTTCTTACAATGGATCCATGAATGGCACTTGGGAAGATTGGAATCTGACGACAAAAGCCGCATCTTCGGTGTCATCTACAACCGCAACTACAACGAGTTCCGTGTTTGGATACCCGGGCTACCCATCATACAATGACTCGAACTCTGTCTGGCTGGATTGGAACCTGACGTCTGTCTCTACAACACAGAGCACTTCTGCCTTGCCGGTTGATGCTTTAACTACAAGCCTAACCACATCTTTGAGTACGACCACAACAAGCTCTAGCTTTGCATATCCTACGGCAGGCAACTGGACAGGTTACAACGAGAGCGCGTGGCTGGATTGGAATCTAACAACAACCAGAACAAGCACGTTGTATGTTGACGGTCGAACCACGACCACAGTTTCCACCAGCACTATAAGTCTGGTCCCAACAACTACCTCAGCCAGAGCGTATCCAACGGTTTCGTATACTGGCACAGGAAACTGGACAGAGTCAGAGTGGCTGGACTGGAACTTTACGTCAACCTCGTTCGCCTATCCTCGCACGACGACTTCTTCTCCAGCAATTACCACGACTACAACGACCTCGGAACTTCTAGTTGATGCAGCTACAGGATCAACCTCGACCTCAGCTTTTGCCACGATCCCTTCGCACAATATAACGGGTAATTGGTCGAGCTACAATGACTCGAATTCTGTCTGGTTGGATTGGACAACAACTACAAGCCTCAGGACTGTATCCACAACATCTAGCTCGCAAGTTGCCTATCCAACAATCCCGGCCTATAACGGAACTGGTAATTGGTCAGACTGGCTGTCGAATATCACCTACAGCTCGTCCGCAGCATTTATCAATCCGCGCACAACCACCTCTTCCTTGAGCACGTCCTCTGTCCTATCTGTGGCTGCTACTGCTCTGACGCCCACTTCTACTTCAACTTCCACAACCACCACGGCAATAGGATATCCGACTGTCCCGGTTTATAACGGTTCATACCCTTCGACTAATTGGACAGATTGGAACGGCACAATTCCCTGGAACATCACGTCGTCCAGCTTGGCTGCGTCGTCTACGACAACTTCAGTAGGTGGATATCCAACTGTTCCTGCGTATAATGGTTCATATCCTTCTACGAACTGGACAGATTGGAATGGTACTATCCCCTGGAATGTGACTACTTCGGCGACTACGTCTTCCTTGAGCACGTCCTCGGTCCTCTCCGTTGCCGCTACTGTTCTGACACCGACAACGTCCTCAACCACCTCATCCACGACCACTTCAGTTGCGGGATATCCGACTATTCCGGCCTATAATGGCACATATCCTTCGATGAACTGGACGGACTGGAACGGTACAATCCCCTGGAATATGACTTCTTCCATAACTTCGTCGGCTTCTCCTACAACCTCGGTAGCAAGTTATCCAACTACGACGTATAATGGATCATATCCCTCAATGAACTGGACTGACTGGAATGGCACAATTCCTTGGGATATCACTTCCTCCTCGAGGACATCTTCTACCTCCTCTGTCCTCTCTGTCGCTGCTGCAGTGACCAGCACTACCACTTTCGCCTCGACGACAACAACCTCGCAAGCTGGATATCCTACACTTCCAGCTTTCAATAGCTCTTACCCATCAACGAATTGGACAGACTGGAACGGCACAATTCCTTGGAACTTGAGTTATCCGCTGACTACGTCTTCCGCGCTCTCTGTTGCAGCCACTCAAGTTACTACTTCGTCCACCCCAGCTACGTCCACGACAACTGCAAGAGACGGATACCCAACAAATTGGACTGACTGGAATGGCACGATCCCATGGAACTTTAGCTCTTCGCTGACTACGACGTCCACAGTCTCTGGTCTGACGGTCGGCCCTACGCAGATGAGCACTACGTCGAGCACTACATCTCTGACCCCCTCTTCGACCACCACACGCTCGATGGATGGATATCCGACAACCTTACCCTATAATGGGTCTTATCCGTCGACAAATTGGACAGACTGGAATAGCACAATCCCTTGGAATTTCACTTCGCAGATCACTACGTCTTCTTCCACGACAAGCTCAGTGGTAGGCTTCCCAACGATCCCAGCCTACAATGGATCGTACGCGGGCACGAACTGGACTGATTGGAATGGTACAATTCCATGGAACGAGACTGACACCAGAAGTTTGACCACGTCATCGACGGCATCTCTGACTTCTACCACAACGTCAATACTTTATGTGTCACCCACGACCACGAGCTATACATCGACGTCCACTAGAGCCTGGCCAACAATGACGGCACCCGCTTACAACGAGACACTGTGGCTTGACTGGCTCAACAGCACGAACAGCACCGGCAACTGGACCCTGCCAACTAATTCCAGCCGTCCCCTTAACTTGACTGATCCATTGCCGACCACTAGTTCTGTGACAAGCACCTCTGCCTGGGCCGTGCCGACATTGGCATACAACGGAACCGGAAACTGGACGGACTGGTACAACTCCACAGGAAGCAATGAGACACGGCCATTCACCTTCTCTGCCACAACAAGCACCTCCCTGGTGTCGACGACACCCAGTCCAGTCGCCGTGACAACCACTTCCGCCACAACTTCCGTCTTGTTGACAAGAACCCCGTCCTCAGTGTTTCCAACAACGACCTCGGTTTGGGCTTACAACGACACCGGTAATCGGACGGACTGGGCCAGCAATAATACTGCTCCATTGAACTATACAATTCCCCATTCGAACTCGACGAACTCGACTGCTTGGAGTAGCAACTCAACGTACCCCGCTAGCAATTCATCTGAATGTGGTGCCACTCCCCCTTCGCAACTTCTGGAGAATCCATCATTCGAATGTTCCGGCACGGGTTGGAATCTGGATGAAGTGGACATTGTCTGGGGAGGTGTCTCGAGCTCTGCTACACCTTCCAAGCGTATACGTGATATTCTGTCCCCTGACGCTGCCTATGACGGCAAAGCATTCGCGCGATTTGAGCCCGCTGTCGAAGACGCCACTGCTACTTTGTCACAGACACTGGCCACTCCGGCCGCGAATGGATCCTACTGGTATTCTTTTGCCTACAGAGTTCCGGCTTCTGGGGTCACTCCAGATGGATGTACGTTGACAGTTTCGAACGATGAAGGAACTCTAGCAACTCTAGGTTCACTTTCGGTCGCGACTTCCTGGACTACTACCGGAAATGAATTCCAGATCACGTCCTCGGCGAGCACATTCTCTCTGGTCTTTAGCTGCGATGGTGCCGAGACCACCTCGCCCATTCTAGATGTCGACAATATCAGGATGGGCATGAGCAGCGGAAATTGGACTTCTGTGAATGGAACCGGTGGCGGGTATAGCAATAGCACTGGCCTTCCAACTTGGAGTGGTCAACCTCAAACCAACACGACATACGGGCAGCCTCCAGTCAACCTGACTACACCGGCCTACGGCAACAATTCGACGGATTATACTGGAGCAGCCAGCGGACCAGAAACTGGAAACGCATCCAGCAATGGCCCTGTCACCACATCCCCTGTGTCTTCTCCGGAAACGTCAACAACTTATGATCTCCGAGAGCCTGCACCTACATCCTCGCCCTCACCAACAGGACCAACGACATCGTCTCCGACGCCAACGACGACCGACCCAGCCGTAACGCCGGATTCAACGGATCCTACCACGACGCCGGGCTCCTTGGATGCGTCGACCACGTCTCCGGAAGCAGCTGCAGCTTCAGACATGAGCACATCGTCGACGTCGTCACCATCTCCGTCTCCCACGGTATTTGCACCGAGAGACAAGGTTAAGAGGCACCGATATCATCGGAACTCGTAAGGGGGTATGATGAAGCATTTGGATGTGGGGGGAACTAAGCATTTCCGGGAAAGGGGGGAAGTGACGAGGGAACCAGCAACAGATACCCCCCATAGTTATTTCTCTAGGTAGTTTCTTTCATGACTGTTTTCTTCACAGCCAAACTCCGCGTTTCCTAAGGCATCTTTCGCGATCTTCTTCGAGGGAATGAGCTTATTGATATCAGCAACCAGTCACCCCGGCTGCGGAAAGGGAGGTGGAAGAAGAAAGGGGGAGATGCGGCTTTTCCTTCCTAGACCAAAGGGTTTCTGGGACGGTTTTCTATTTTTCGCGTTATTGGATTCAGAGTTTTGTTGGCGTGGTATTTACTCGTAGTACTATATGTGGCGGCTTCCAGGTGCCGCAATTAGCTGGGCCAGATCTTCTCGATTGTTTCCTCCACCCTCCTTATTAGGCGGGCGGCATTATTCGATTCTAGACCTTCTCGCAGCCCAGGCCCTCTCCTCCGTACTTATAAACTTGTTGACTGCCCGCTTGTTTCAATCCGGGGCTGGTGGCCCTAGGAACATTTGGAAACATTTTGATGGAGCAATAATAACACGCACCTGCCCGTACGTCAAAACTCGGCATGTTCCCGCAGCTGGGCCGTTGATCGCAGGATCAGAATGGGAATTGGAAATCCTTCATTTCTTTTCTTCCTTCCCACCAGGCGTCCAGTTTCACGTGCGTGGATTTTGATAGGCAAAGAGAACCCCGGACCGACTGACCGACTGACCGACCGTCAAAGCCTGTCTGCTCCCTTCTCAAGAAATATTGATACAGAGACTTGGGCTCCATCCAGAGTGTTTCTCAACTAGGGACTCGCATCGTGCCCAACGGAGATGCTCTCATTCATGTGGGTGGTATGTTTTATTTTCTGTGATGAATTTCCACCCCGGCGTCAGCCTCGTCCCCTGTCTTGACATGAAGACTTGCCAATCAGGGGCTAGCTAGGCCGCCCAGGTGGATCTGCCATTCAGGGGACGCAACAGGGACACAACCCCAATTGGGAAGCGACGCCTCGTCCAGGGCGGACAACAAGGCTGGTGAGCACCAGGCTGGTGATGCTTTTCCCCTGGAAATTGGCCCAGGTGGTCACCAAACCCACGTCCGGCCGACCCGCCAAAGCCTACGCAATCTTATCCGAGGACTTCCATTACATACTGCACCTCGTAGTGCCATCATCCTTTTTATTTACATACATCCCCGTCCTCTGTCCGCACAGGGCCAAAAAATGGGCTTCGATTTGATTCGACTCCGCGAGAACGCTTCAGCCGGGGGTAGTCCGCCCTCCTCCCCTGCGTCCTGGTAAGGCTGTCTGTCTATCTGTCAGCAGAGGAGGCATTGTATCACTCCCTAGCTGGTCTTGCTTCCGAAACCTCTGTCAAATTTCCATGGCACTGACAATCGGTAACTCCACGAGCAGGCATTTCATTTCCACCACCGTGATGGAATGGCTGGCCCTAAGGGACGAAAAGGGCAGATCCCTTTTTTTCTTTCCCCTTTTCGTTGCGCGCCACTTAGAAAACGAGCAATCCATGGACGCGGCTGCTGCATTTTCCGGCAGAAGGCTTGCACGGTGAGTGCGTACGCGAAGGACCGAGTGTCAGAGTACTCGGTATATCTTCTATATATTGAACACTGCCCTCTTCAATTGTGTTCCCTGTCTGTCCCGTCTCTCATTCTTTCAATTGGCATTCCGTCGTTTCTCGATAGAATCGCACTTTTTCTCGTCGATTGTTGTCCGACCATAGTCACTCTTTACCTTGCTCAGTTTTCAACTCACCCCAGCCATTCTTTACAGTAAACCCACCATCGTCCAATTCCCGAATCTCTGCACACAATGAAGTTCTTCAGCACTATCCTCACAGTTTCGGCATTTGCAGGTGTCACCTTCGCGAGCCCCCAGCGAGGAGGCTTTGCACGACCATCGCCACCACCTCACACGATTGAGTCGAAGACCGACGACCACTCGACTACCAGCTCTCCAACACCGGGATATTCCTCGTCGAGCCCAGCGTATTCCGCCGGACATGGCTCTTCCACCAGCTCGGCGCCCGTTGCAGCGAGCACCACCGCCTACCCAACCACCACCACCACGACATTCAAGGTGGTGACCACCACTACCTCCGTCGCGCCTCTCGGAACCGTGACCTGCCTCAGCACCGCCGCGGCGACCAACGTGGTCAATGGCTTCGCCTCCCTGCTGACAGCGTACAGCAACGCGACGGCCGAGTCTCTCCTCGCCTCCGACTTCACCGACACGTCCGACTCGATCAACTTCTTGGCCGGCAATCCCTTGGGCAGCACGACGTTTCCCAGTAAGCTGGCATTCGAGCTGGGTCAGGGCAGCCAACCTGCGATCGGGTTCCAGGTGCTGAACATCGACGCCATCACTTGCAAGGTCATCGCGTTCCGCTGGGAGGCCATCCTCGGCTCCAGCAGCCCCGTCAAGGGCATCAACATCCTCTACACCGAGAACCCCACCCAGACCGACGACGGCTGGCAGATCCAGAGCGTCTTCTCCGAGTTCAACTCGGGCACGTGGACCATCGAGATTGGCGGAACCTGCGTCCCGCCTTCTCAGGCCGGTGCCTCCCGCTGAGCAAAGAAAACATACATACCCCCCTCCCCGCCCGCTAAGTCCTCCCCACACAAGACAACGGCTGAGCTGCGAAAAGAGTACCTCTCTACCTCTTGGATAGGAGAAATAGATGCAACTGACTGGCTGACCGACTGGCTGGTGCCGTCGAGTGCGGGAGAGAGATGTTGGTGGTTGTGCGCGTTCCACATATTCTGAAATATATATATGTATGTACACATGCGGTGACATGTATACTATCACACATTAATATCACCGGTGTTATCACTTCGTCCCTCTTCTTTTGGTTCTCGGAACGGGTAGTACTATTATTGACAAAGGGTTCATCTCTACCTCCGGCTTCGGCTTCGTCTTCGTCACTGCTTGACTAGCCTTGCCTGGCGTGGCAAGTCCTGCATAAGCCGAGTCGATAACGTGTCATGTCTACAGTATGCTTGAGTATGGCATTGGTCTAATCAAGTCGATTCTCTACTTTCTACCATTACATGAGGCCTATGCTCATCAAGGAGGGTATTTCCTCCGTCTTCTCCGTCCGCAACTCTGTCCCACAAACAACATGAAATTAGCCATATTCCACGCTCTATTACTCAACAGTCTTTGCTCCAGTACAATTGTGCCATTCGAGGCAACGTGTCAAAACTCGAAAAGTTTCCGTCCGTACTGACCCAGTCACTGGTGTTGCCACTCAAGTATTTCCCCGCCGCCGCAGAGAAGAAACTCGTCACATACACATCTATGAGCGTGGAATCTGATGTGTTAGCTCCGACGCTGACGTTTGCTTGCACATAATGTGGGGCAGAAGAGTAGCCCTGGTTGGTGTGGATGATGTTGTCTCCATCGGTGCCGAGGTCGTCTTTCGTCACGTATCCTGGTGTTTTTATTAAAGTGGTTGCATTGACTGGAAGCGGGGCTCTTTTGTAGACTTTGTCCGTCTGCATGTTCGATAGCAGGTTCTTCGCCGAGGACCAGGGGGCGGTCATGCGTAACCAATAGTTCGTGTAAGGGTTCGTTTGATATGCATTATCGATCGTAAAGGGCCCCTTCAGCAGGTCGTAGCGGAACCCGCCCGTGTTGGTAAGGATAATGCGTGACATGTTGGCCCGGTTCGGTGCGACCACTATGGCGGGGAAGACGACGTTTGTCAGGTAGTTGAACAGACTCTGATTCGAGCTGATGGGAAAGCGATCGAGGTAGTAGTTGTCTGGACAGCAACCGAGTTTGTTGGTCAATTGTGGGAGGCTGTCCACAGCCGTGGTGATGTTCTTGCTAATTGTGACGCCCAAGCTGGTGTTAAATGTCTGCTCGTTAGTGCTGGTGTGGAATTCAAAACTATATCGGTTGAAGTCCAGATATTGCCTCGAGTAAGACAAGGTGGAGTTTGGATTTGGCTTAACCCCAGGAACGTTGGAGGGTTTCTGGGTGATTCTGGTGGCATTGCCCATGGGCGACTTGGCTTTGGTGACACGACTGGGCAAGCCGTTGACAGAAACCCACCCCACCGTCTCACAATATCTTCCAGAAGCGATGCCCACAGCCGAGGCATCAAAGACGACGGCGTCGCGGACATGTCGATGGCCTCCAAAGATCTGAATTGGGGTCGTGGGATGGTGCTCACGAATAGCGGCGTAGACAAGACCCCATTCCGTAGAGTTCCGAAGAGTGATATGTCCGGCTACCAGAAACATATCGATATCAGTCCTCTTGACCTGTTGCTGGAACCAAGATTGTTTGACAGCGTCACCGACCGGAGTCACGATTGTTGCGTTGCTGTTACCCGTGAAATTGAAAATGAAGGCAAAGGACATGATCCGGATACCCATCTTTGTCTCCCAATATGCGTATCGGTTGGAGAAGGGCGTAGGACTTCCCGTGAGATTGAACTCGACGTTGGAGGTGATGTAACGACCGCCCCAATGCGGAGCAAAGTTGCGATATGTGTCATTGGCAATCTCGGTCGTATAGAGCTCATGATTTCCAATGGACAACAAATCGTACGGCAGCTTTTTGAAGACGGGTAGTGTGAGCTTTCCATTCGGCGTTGTCGCGTCTCCGAACCCGGTTCCGTCATGCAAATCGCCCGAGTCGATGAGCAGGAGGTCAACACCCAGAACATCCGCCTTGGCCTTCATCTTTTGCACAAAGTCAGCAAAGTCGCCATAGTCGGCACTGTAATTGTCGTCCAGCAAATGGCCCGCAAGCCAGCCATGGGTATCTGTGGTGTGGAGGAAATTGATCTGGCCCCAATGCAGGTCTTTGATCTGTTGCGGCGGGGTAGGAAGAGCTGCTGGTTGGATCCGTTTCGCGAGGTCATGTTTTCTCATCAAGCCATGGTCGACGTAGCCTCCAAGGACCGGAGATGTCCAATCATGGTCATCGCACGAGGAAGAAGGCCCAAGAAAAGTAGCGAGTGCAAATAGCGAAGTGAGTAACATGGCGGACCGTTTGGGACAGCTCGGATGACTTCCAAAGAACGAGCGACAATGGCTACACGACGACGGAAGAATCCAGCTTGAGTGCGAGGCAAGAGAGAGACGGGCAGCCGGGGCCTTATCAAGCAGTCGTAGAAACTGAGCAGGAGTTGCAGAGCGGCACCAGCTTCTTCCTTCTAGATCCCCAGGGCGGTTGCACAGGCGAGTAAGCCATCGGAGGTGCTACTGCAGGTATCCGCAGCATAGGCCTGCCCGATGCGGAGGAGGAGCAACGGGAGAGCATGTCACTGTGCATGTCGAACTCAGAAGGACGGATGAGGATGTGAGAGATTCACAGCTGGCCAGGCTGAAGGAAGGCAATGATGATCGAGACCTGCAGTTGTTACTCGTCAGTGGCTGAACCGGACGAAGATGGAGCTTGCTAACGCCCCCAAAGCGACTTGGTCAATAGCTTGACCTCGGGGTAAACCTTGTAAGGGAGCAAGGCGTCGTTCTAGCTTCTTGGATGGCGGCTGGGCACACGACACAGCACGCAGGATGGAAGGACGGACCAGAGCACGAGGGGGAATCAATTGGAGACGATCGGCGAGAGTCAGAACAAGGGCAGAAGTTGGTTGCAACCGCCAAGGAAAAGTCAGCGCCACGTGACAAGCCGCTAGTCGGTCATCACGTGACTTTCTATTTTGTGGTCCCGTGAAGACCTCGCTAAGCTATCCGAGGACTAGCCTCGAGGTTTCTCTCTTAACTACCGGGTACCCGGTACTTGTACTTGTAGACACCAAGTACAAGTACGAGTACCCAGTGCTTGTGTAAAGTCGTCGCCATTGAGCCGAGAAATTCGCCTTCGGTTAAGGCGGTCCGTCCGTTTCGGGAACGGTGTATATATATATCTATTATATATGCCCCGAACCGTCGTTGCCCACGACGCTTTCGCTGACTAATATCCTACCGCTTTGCTCTCCTGCTAACGACTATTTAGTCCATTCGCTCCCCCTTCCGCTTCGTTCTACTCCCTTCCTCTCTTTCGCGCTCCCCTTCCACTCTATTATGCTCTCCTTCGGCTCTGGCCGGAGCTAGTACCATTCTAACCGCCTTAAAAGACGAATAGAACGATACTAGGCTCGTAAAATCATCCTAAATATTCGTGGTGACGCAGGCACTACTTGTAGTAGTGATTTCTCGTTAATCTATTGGTTAGAACACTACCTCGTAGTTCCCGTCGAACCTCAACTAATTTAGCCAACCTTGAAGTATTAGGGCCACAAGGGATAAGGTTGCACGAAAGCTTTGCGTCGACAATATCTACCAGTAACCTATCGATCACTACTTATCAACTGGACCAAAGAGTCCTCTCGCGGTTTTCACAAAAGAGTGGGTGATCATGTTCGATGCTGATCGACATCAGTCAAATATCACGCCACCACTTATAAAGATGGCACGTTGGGGAGTTTGAATTGCGTGGCTTTCGACGTCGGTCAAGTATCATGCCACCAATTCTACCTGTAGAGGATGAATTCCTCAAGACTCTAACATGCCACCCTGCGATGCAGTCCATCATTCCTCCGCTGTTCTCACAGAACTGGATCAAGGTGCTCCTTTGAAATGCCGTTATGCGCACCATGGCGACCATCACTACAGTAGAACCTGAGACCAGCCCAAGCGCTCCTAGTCCGGAGGAGTCATTTGCAAAATTGTGGAACGAAGCCCTCGACGAATTTGTCAAAAAGAGCGGTAAACAAGCTGCTCAAATATGGACCGCACAAACCAGGGGGTACTCATTCGACGATCTGAAAGTAGCAATAGCCACGCAAAGCAAGAAATATGCTCTGTCTACGGAGCGACGCCGAAGGATATTGAATGGTTTGAACACGTTCTTGGAACCTGTCGGCGCTTTTTGTAAGGTAGCTGCAGCAGGGGCGGCGCTCGTAAGTGTGGTCAGCTTTTTGTTGCCGTTGCGACCCTCTATAAATGGAGATCAAGGAATGCTGGTGCAGCTTCAGCCAACTCATGTTCTCACAGGCATATCCCCCGGCTTCAGCGATATATGCTGCCTTGAATTTCGTGTTCACGGCAAGTAACAAAGTCAATATTTTCTGTGTCCATTCGCTTATATTGTGGCAGACCGCTCATGGCATTGGCAGTACTTACGACGCAGTTACTGAGCTGCTCGACAAGATTACATACGCTGGAGCTAGATTGGACGAGTACCTCAAATCCGATCTCCCGCCAGGCTTGGTTGAAATTGCTCGACACATTTTAGTCCTATACTTGGACGCTTTCGGAATTGCTGTAAAGATGATGAGCAGCAACAACTTCGGCAAGTTACCCCTACTCGTTCGTGCTCTAACCTTGCTCATATTTGAAGTGATATTTGGCAAAAGAACGTTCCTAGGCAAAGATTGTGGTGTCAATGACGCAATTGCAAAGCTGAGAGATCTCGAGCATCTGGAAGAGTTGCTTGTGCTTGCGTACATTTACAGCGCACAAGGGGATATCATGCGTCGTGTTGCAAGTAAGAATACAAGATCTCGTATTTCGAGTATTTCCACTGAAGCGGCATTCCAGACATTCCAAACGAAATATTTGGCAGTCTTCATATTGGCAAATCAAACGTGGATATGCTCAAGGAACAAGCTCCTTCTCAAGAGAGAATGTTTTGGTCGAAGAGAAGTGAACAATTTCGTAGCGTCAATGGTGGCTGGATTCTCAAAGAGACATTTTTCCAGGAATGGCTCCACGGCGACTTCCCTATCCTTTGGATTTGTGGTGATCTAGGAACTGGGAAGTCCTACCTAACCTACCACCTTGTTCAAGCTCTCCGCGCCCGCCAAACCGAAAAGGAATCCTCTGTCAGACCTACCACAGCCTCGACATTGTACTACTTCTTCAGTCCCACTGTTTTAACCGACACCGAGCTCGTCATCACAATAGAGCTATTAGGAGTGATTATGGATCAACTGGTGCTGCAAGATAAGGCGTACGAGCAGTATCTCAAGAACACGAAACCTCAAGATATCGATCATGACCCGAAGACATTATGGAAGTATTATCTTTTCGATTTCTTTGTCACCAGCTCCTTTTCTTCGGCCACACTTGTTCTTTATGGTGTGAACTTTCTCTGCGATGTTGGGCGAATACGATTCTTCGAGGTTCTTGCTGCCATGAGCGAAACGACGTCGAAGATATCAGTGATCTTGCTTGCAGACTACGGAATCGGTAAAGAGATTCAACAAAATTTCAAGACGTTGACGAAGCGTATCGAATTAACCTCAATGAGTACGAAGTCGGACGTGGATGAATACATCAAAATATCAATACAAAAACTTGCGTGGCTCCGATGGGATGCAGAGCTTCGAGCCAAGGTTCTCGATTTCCTGCAGAATAACGCCAACGGCTCGTTTCCGTGGATCAACACCATGCTGGAGATTTATCCTCGGCACGAGAAAAGAATGGTGAATTTTTGGCTGCTCAAGCCCTCGAAGGAATGGTGTCAAACATTTGAAGATTCTTTGAGTAAAATCACAACCACTTTGCAGGAGTATGAAAGGGAAACCTTGACCGTAAGAGAAATTTACCTCCTATGCGCCAGTCACTGACACATATTGCAGTATATCCTGTCCTTGGTTGTGACTGCCAGTCGGCCACTTTCACTTCGAGCCCTTGAACAAGCCCTTTACATCAGATATGAGGATAGTTCACCATTTTGCAAGCTTAAGTCAATGATCTACTACGAGTATGGATCTATATTTGACATACGGACAACACGTGGGTCTCAAGCAGAGCCGAAAGACATCGAAGAACCGGCCGAGACGGATGACGGCGAACTGGAGGATACATATGAGGTAGGCAACCCAGAAGACGAGACCATCTTCGTCTCTATCAAGCAATATGCGATCTTGGACTATTTCCTACGACCGAGGCCTTGTTATCAAAATGACCTCAATTGGAAAGTCCTAGATGCCCGTGTCACGGTTTTGAAGATGTGTCTACGTCTGTTTAGCGACGACCGCACCTACGACATTTGTAAAGACAGCCTAGCACTGTTCGCAGCAAGGTTCCAATCATACTTGCTTGCCATTGAGCCGAATGCGATCTCACCAGAAGACCGTTGCACGATAGGACAATTACTTGCCGAAGTCATGCGGAACGAGCTAGCCGTCAGCCGTTGGACCGCCAAAGCAGGTGTATCATTGACTACTGAGTTCATACTCATGCCTCAAGTCGTTGTTGCCATCAAGAAATGGCTCACGATTCCAGAAGTGCAGCAACATTTGGAAACTTATGGCTACGCCAAACAGTGGTTCGCCTCATTTCAGTCAACACCCGTCGCAAGCATTTTCCGTAACGCAGCCATATCTTGTGCGCAAAGATGGCTCAAATCCATGGAGTCTGGTATGAATGCAGATGTTGTCTTTTTACACAACTATGATGTACAAGTAAGTTGTCGCCTTCCTAACGTTCTTTATACCCATTAACGTTATGTCCTGACAGTCCTGTGCTGAGGGCAATGGGCCATGCGAACAGCATTTCATTTCAGTCAAGCTATTAGCACCTGAGCGGATTACGAAACTTTGGGAAGGCGCCGAAGCGATGTTACCCAATAAGGATGGGATACACCATCACCGGCTGGCTAGTACACTCCTTTATGCGAATCACGTTGCTGATGCGATTCGAGTCGCGCAAGCTGCGATCAAGGAACATGGCGATGGGATGCTCCGAACTGTTCTCGGCCAAGCTTATATGAGAAATGACGAGTTCGACGACGCATTCAAGGAATTGCAGCTCGGCCAGGAGCTCCTTACGAAAGAGGCAACTGTGGCTCGCACGCAAAACTTTTTGCAACTTTACCGGCTTGCGGGTCAGAGAACATGTTCGACTGTGAGGGAATTAGAGAAGCCTTACGAGCTGAGCGAAGCTTACCTCGATGAACTCCTGCGCCATGGAGATTTCGACGAGGCGCAGCGCATAATAGAGGGGCTGGTGCAAGATGAACTTTCCAAGTATCCTGGCAAAAGGTGGCTTGGATTTTTCAAGGCATTAGCTCGGCATATACCTCATCAGCAAAGACTGACTGTCTACGCCCTAACCTGGCCTGGTGGTCTTGAATTAGTTGAGAGACTATACGGACGCGGAATCGAAGTCTTGACGAGGTGGCGCGAAGATGAGGCTCGGCTGGGGATGCTGTACTTCTTTGTCCAGCTGCGACTGCGGCTCAATTCGGGAGTGGAGAACCCCGATTCTATACTTGATCTCGCTTTGAAAGAGCTGGCTCCTGCTCCGGGCGACAAGAATTTGGAGAAGTTGAGATACATCGCGGAGATCGATCTGCGAACCTACGAACTGAAGCAGGCACTGAGAACGTCATGCGACGATGACGCAAAGATGAGACGGAATAACGAAACCTACGACAATTTAGCTGCAGAATTGCAGCGGAGCGATCGTTCAACAAGTCCATCAGCCCTTATTGTGGCCGTGTGGTACCGTCATGTGGGACGATCAAATGAGTGTCGCGCGGTGCTTCGACCTTTGCTAGATAAGGCCATCAGTAGCATTCGCGCTGTCGTCGGCGATGCGGCCACCACAGCAAGCAAAGATGACTTGGCACAGCAATGGACAGCGTGGTACAAATTGGCTGACATACTCAACGCGGCCGGGAATACTCAAGACGCAATCGCTGCACTGTCATACATCAAACAGAGCCGGATCCCAAGTAGCACCATGTGCTATCTCAATACTAGATGGTCACCTGCATACCGACAAGCTCCGGTCAACCGACCTGTCATTCTTTGGTCGAGATCGATGAAGGAACGCTCTGATCACATACCCCGATCAAAAGATATAAATGTTTTGATGAGCGGGAAAACAGGGTGGCGAGCAGTAGTTGACGCTGTTCGAGCATACTATCCAGCATTAAACGCCAGGATGAGCCGGTCTTACAGCGGGTTTGTCTGCGACGGCTGCGGGAAAGTCATCAGCTGCTGCGAGACAAGTCATCGATGCACAGTTTGTCTTCACGCAGACTTCTGCTTCCCATGCCGGGACTCTCTGCGTAGGGGAAAGATGCCGATCAATGTATGCGACAGCTCCCATGAGATGCTACTACTGCCGGCTGAATACATTGCTTGTGCAGAGGGAAAGATACGGGTCGGATATCAAAACCCTACATCTGAGAACATTGAGTTGATTACGTGGGTTCAAAAGGTCAAGAGTTGCGAACGTGACCTGTTGGAGTGGCTGGAGGAAATTGTAGTTACATGGTGATGCCCTTGTTTGCACCGCAAGCCTTAACACATAGGTGCTTGCGACGGGGGAATTGGAGCGAGACTGGGAATAGATGCAAGCGAGGACAATGAAAAGCTTGCTGCGCGGGAGTAGTTTCAAAAGACTGTTAAGTCTTGACAGGCATCCCGTTCTTTTCAAGCTTTCAACTCTTAACCTGAGCACATTCATCTCTTCCAACACTGCACTCAGCTTTTTCCTCTTCGTGGAGTTTCTCCGCCGGCTAGCTCATCTCACTTCCATCTTAGCTAGTTGACCCTTACACGTCGGGCGGTACTGTCGGTCATTCTCTTCACTATTAGCTTGTTCCTTGGCAGTCAGCACGTCCTAGACTCACCTACGGACCTTTGTGCATATCATCCGTTCATCCTGCTAAATCACCATTTTCTTTCTCGCCCATCTTCGGCGCGAATGCTTTCAACTGCTATGGATCGCCTCTAAGTAACTACTGCGAGGCTACACCACGCAGATGGAAGGATCGAGGGTCTCCAGGCAGCAGGCTTGACTGAAACGAATGAGGCGTCCTGCCAGGCAGCTGTAGTCGAAGGCCCAAAGGGGGCCCCTAAGCCTGAACTGGCTTCTGGGGATTGGCATCAGGCAGGGCGCAGGGCTCCCTGTGGCTCGCCCAGTGCTCGGCCGGGCGCCTGCGACGCTCCGTCATGTGCCCGATTAAGGCGGCCTCGCTCCGTTTGCTGAACGAAAATGGTAATGGACGCAGCATAGTTCGGGGCATATATAATAGATATATATATATGACTGGGCACGCCGCTGCTTTTGACGTCTCCAAGAACCATCCTCCAGTCCCCAATCCTCTTCATCCAAGTCGTTTCTTTCTCATGTCTCTCGCCCTGATGCGCCTCTCGCGCGTAACGGGCTATTGACTGTGGCCCCCACTGCCATGCTACGATTCTCTGACAGCTATTCTAACATCCGTCTCGCCTCTCCTATAATATACTCTAATTACCCTGCTCGTCCTTGATCGACACGACTTTTACGCCTCTTACCGTTTCGGCCTCCTCGTAAGTCTCCACCTCCTGCATGCATATGACATTCTTGGTGTTGGAATCCACCGTCGTCCGTAAAATCTGGTGAGTATGTATTCTTTGTCTTGGCCATTCAAGAGACACATCGCGAAGCCTCCCCATATTGTTCGGAATGATTGTGTGGAGCAGGATGGGAACATGGCTGGGAAAATCGATTCTCCGCAGGCCTTAGAATACGTCGCTCAGTGCTTCTACTGTGCTCAAGAGGTCTTGGGCATAGTTAGTGGAGGGATTAAGGTTAGGAAAGATTGCGATATTGAATATCCGTGGCGAGAGACATTACTCGAAGAACGTCGGACAATCATCCATTAAAATTAGCTAGGTACGATTCGATGCGGTTCCTTCCTAGACATACGTTGGGCATTGAGTGAATGGGAGTAGATGCAATACTGTATTTGCCCCTGCAGAGCATCGAGGGAAGAATCCCTCCCAAAGCGGCGGTAGTGACCGCCTAATTCGGCGGGGAGACTCCCCTGCAATCTGCGTTGAACTGTAAAGTACTACCAAGTACTTGGTATATTACATTTTCCTCATCGCAACGCCAACCCCAGACTTTCAGCATTTTGTATCAACGCACCAACAACTTCAGCAGCTTTAGCGACCGTTGCGCCGTCAAGAATCCTGTGATCAGCACTCCAGCTGAGCACCACCTGCTCCTGCTTGACAATGCGCTCATGACCTTGGTCGTCTGTTGTGAAAACCGGGACATGTTGAGCTCTACCAACCCCGAGGATTCCCACCATTGGCGCCACGATGACAGGGGACACAGTACTGCCGCCGATGCTTCCAATATTGCTTATCGTGAAAGTGGCATCCTTGAAATCTTCTGGCGCAAGACGTCCAGCGTGTGCGAGATCGCTCAGCCGCTTGATTTCAGCAGCAAGTGAGATGATGGAGTGCTGCTGTACATCTTTGACCACCGGAACTAGTAGGCCCTGGGATGTATCGACGGCAATCCCAAAATTGCAAGATGATTTGAGAATTAGTTGGGGTTTCGACGGGTTAGTGGCTGTGTCCAAGTGGGCATTGAGTTTCGGAAAGCGCGAAAATGCACGCGACACGGCCTTCATGATGAACGGGAGGATCGTCAGCTTCGAAACAGGGATTTCTGAGGTGGAAAGCGTAGATGAGAGACTCGAGCACGTGTTGAACTTTCGCCGAAGGTTGTTGATCGATGTGACGTCGACGCTGTGGGTATAGAGGAAGTGAGGGATCGTGAGAGAATGGGTCATAACTTTGAACATGTGGTTTTCTGTCGGGCTCAATGACACGACCTTGTCTTCTGTGACCTCTTTTGACAACGCTTCGGTGGCAAGTGGAGCGGGTGTTCGGAAGTGAGCAGAGTTCGATTGTGCCAGAATGTACCGTTGGACGTCGTCTTTTGTGATGCGCCCATCCCTACCAGTGCCTCGAACATCGTTGACGTCGATGTCTGCCTGTTTGAGCATGTGTCGCACAGCTGGGGTGAGGAGTGCGGAAGCTTTGGTAGGAATTTCTTCTCTCACCGCAGGTGTGGGTGCGGGCGAGGTCGTCGACGAGTCCTGTGAGACAGGCAGCGACTCAACGTCAAGAGACGCAGTCGGTTGTTCAATCTGTCCTCCAAAGATTCCCTTCACGGGCGGCGCATCTCCAGTGTCCGAAGGCTCTTGCTCCACAGGGACGTTTGCAAAGATTGGATCCTCCGAAACGGTGTCTGCAATATCCATATCCAATAGTGGCTTTCGCATCGGGTTAGCGGCCTAGGTGCTGTAGCATACAGCTTCTCAGAGCAGGGCTTCGCACCTTTCCAACGACCGCAACTTCATCCTGCTCATAGTGAAGGGCTTTGACAACGCCATCAAATCGCGAGGTAATCTGTTCGTCCCCGACCTGTAAGTAGTTTGCGGAGGAATAGGGGAAGTACATTCAGCACCTCGACAGTTGCTTTATCTGACTGGACTTCGCATATGGGATCGAACTGTTCAACGCGGTCCCCCGGTTTGACCGACCAACTGATGATTTGACACTCGGTAATTCCTGTTTCCGTTATTCCACTGTTTGAAGTCCATTTCATGTCCGTATGGTCTTTACCTTCACCAATATCTGCGAGGAGATACGGCCTGACAACACGCCATGACGGCGAACTGTGGAAGGCTTGTCGATGTGTGTACTCTGCTGCCGCGGAAAATTGGCGAGTTCGACGCAGAAATCCTCTGGCCAGCACCCGGTTCATATTTCTGCGATTTCGTCCTAGGAGAAACTCCTCTACTCAAGTGAGTTGACGGTCAAGATGTAATTGTTATCACTTGTGCCCGGCAGGAGGCTTGCCATTGATCTCAGTGCGGAGGGGCAGAGCTTGCGGCTCGCAGCGGTTGCTTCGGGCTGCATTGCCGCTTTGCATTTCGGCTGTTCTATTCCATCCCTGGCCGCTAGATCCTGGTGGTAAAAATCCATGATAGGAGATCAGGCTTGAGAGCTCAACATCGCTGGAAGACTGACTGGGCTGTGGGTCTGACTCTGGGCTGACCAGCGACAGGTCCCCATGTCGGCCGAGTCCTGTGCAAAGAGATATCGGCTATTGGCCCGAACAATACATAGTGTCAACGCTAATCCAAATTTGGGTACAACTATGATTTAGCGTTACCGGAGTCAGCGCGTCTCCCCCGAACCAATATGTACTTTGTATGACCACCGAGGCTACCTACTCGTCACAAGCATAATAGTTGTACACCACTTCGCCGAACCCCGAGGCTCCACACGTCGTTTTGGTTAGGCTTCGGGCACAACATCGACTTCACCGAAATCATCCAACGGCATTCCTAAGAGCTGGAATGGGAGGGGCTACTGATGTAGATAGTTGCCGGCGATAACCGCTCAATCCTCATCGGCCGTTCTGTGTTTGATGGTAATCTGAGTTATTACCAGAGCTGATGTTCATCCTTACCTCAACACAATTCTAAATGTTAATTCACGACGAGATTGTCACTGTGCACCATGTGGCTTCGAACCGCCAGAAGGGCGAACATATCGCCCGCCAGTCGACAAGCCTCTGTAAGAGTCCTTGCACGACGGAACTCAACGGTGACGCTTGGGGAGATCTCAACATCGTCAGTATCGACACTCAAGAATTCAAGCAACATCTTTTGGACGAATTTAACGTGCATGTGGTTATAGACCTCGCTTCCCAGGTGCAACGACCAGTCCCATCAGTACAAGGATGGACTTCTTAATCCCGAAATCCTTACCACCTATCGCTACATATCGAGTCATGAATGTGGAAGGAAGAGTGCAAGATGAGGCTCGTGCAGACCCTGATGTGACAGACGAGCAGGTTCTCGAGTGGTACAAAAACATGTTGACGGGTACCTTTCCTTCCCTCTATCCGAGCCGATTCTGATGATGGCATGCTGAGAACTTATCCGAGGATATAGTCAACATCTTGGATACTATTATGTCCGAAGCCCAAAGACAGGGTCGTCTGAGTTTCTACATGGTGTGTAGCGCAAGGATTGCCAATAGAGCGAACAGGCTGCTCATATCCACACGTGACAGGGCTCATCCGGCGAAGAAGGTATCATGGTTGGATCGGCAGCAGCATTAGGCCCAGACGATGTGATTACGTGCCAATATCGAGAGACGGGAGTGTTCAAGCAACGAGGATACACACTTAAGGACTTTATGAGTCAATTGATGCATAACAAGAACGATCCTGGAAAAGGGCGAAATATGCCCTGCCACTATAGTGGGAGGCTGAAAACCGGAGTGGTAAGTTCTCAGTGCGTTGCTGGAGGGCAATGATGCAGGTTGCACGTGTGGAAATCATCGATCGATACTGATGTGAGCAGCATGCTGTTGCATCGACACTCGGAACCCAGATCCCCCACGCCACGGGAGCTGCATATGCCTTGAAGCTTGCAGATCGAGAGACAGGAAACAAGTCACCAAGAGTTGCCGCTGCATATTTCGGAGACGGCGCAGCAAGCGAGGGAGATTTCCACGGCGCTCTCAATCTGGCGGCCGTTCGCGACTGCCCAGTTATTTTCATTTGTCGCAACAACGGATTCGCAATCTCCACGCCGACAACGGAACAGTATCGCGGCGACGGCATCGCAAGCCGCGGCATCGGTTACGGCATTGAAACGTTACGAGTGGACGGAACGGATATCTTTGCCGTCTATGAAGCGACAAAAGAAGCACGGCGCCGCGCTCTGGAGAATGGTGGACGTCCCATTCTTCTAGAAATGATGAGTTACCGCATCTCCCACCACAGCACCAGCGACGACAGTTTCGCCTACCGAACACAGGATGAAATGAACACATGGAAGACTCGGGATAACCCGATTTCTCGGCTCAAGAAATGGCTGGAGAACAAGGGTCTCTGGAATGATGAGATGGACAAGGAGACCAGAAATCAAATACGAAAGGATATTTTGACTGAATTGAAGGCTGCTGAGAGAGAGAAGAAGCCCCCTCTGAGCTCGGTCTTTGACGACGTGTATGGAGAATATTCGGAGGAGCAAGAAGCGCAGAGAAAGGAACTCAAACGGCTGATGCTGAAATACCCAGAGGAATACGACGTAGAGGAATATGAGGGTGGTATTAATGCGCTGTAATCTCATTCACGGCTGTAGGTAGCAAAGACTTGTGTCAGAATATCAGGATATGCCTAAACTTTTCTTGTTTTGATTCGCGACCACCACTGTGTATATAGGTAGCCTGCCTCGCCCTTGGTAGATAGACAGTCCACAAATCCAATCCTCCCGATCTCTGACAACTCCAGGTTGGGTGAGGATCGAAAAATGCCAGAAATTATCCAGAACAATGCTGTTTCAGAGATTAGGTTTTTGCTCATTCTAGATATACGCGCTTTTTTATGAAGGTATATAATATGCTACAAGATCTGCTCAGTACTCTAAAGTTTCCAGAATAGCATCGTATATCCCTAATAATGTCAGTGACTTGATACCCAAAAGTGAAAAGTGAAAAATGAACTCACTCGTGACATCAGGGAAGATGAACTTCTCCCACGCCAACCCTGTATGCGTAGTCCAACCACCAAGTCGCTTCACCGGCGCCTGGAGAGACAAGAGCGCCTGCTCTTGAATGGTCGCGGCAATTTCCGACCCGACGCCGTAGTTCACCATACTCTCGTGTACGACAATGGCGCGTCCCGTCTTCGCCACACTGTCTAGAATGGTCTTCCTGTCCCAAGGGTACACCGTCCGTAGATCGATCAGCTCAACACTGATACCCGGGGAGGCTTTCTCGGCTGCCTCGATGGCCGCTACACAATTGTACAGAGGTCGACCGTACGAGATGATGGTCAGGTCGGCGCCGGGTTTGACGACTTCGGCTTGACATAGCGGAAGGGTGTAGAATCCGTTGGGCACTTCCTCGACAGCGGCACGGTAGAGGATCTTTGGTTCCATGAAAATCACAGGATCTTTGGACTCGAAGATGGCAGAGAGGAGAAGCCCTTTCGCCTGTGAAGGTGACCGCGGGACGACGACTTTGAAGCCTGGCACATGGCAAAAAAGTGACTCGGGAGATTGAGTATGATATCTAAAAGTGGGAGGGAGTGAGCATGGCGTTCGACGGCGGCGAATGAAAAAATTGGCAAGGCTTCTCACAAGGCACCATGTCCCACTCCACCACAGGGCATCCTGATCACCATCCCAGCCAGGTTGGCACCCGTCGAACCCTCCCGATACCGAAACTTTGAAGCTTCATTCACGATCTGGTCAAAGGCTGGAAAAACATAGTCGGCAAACTGGATCTCGACCACCGGCTTTGCACCCTCGGCGGCCATGCCGACCGCAGCGCCCACAATGCCCTGCTCCGTTATGGGGGTGTTGAAGACTCTGTCCGGCCCAAACTCCGACTGCAGGTTCACCGTACAGCGAAAGACACCGCCGAATGCGACATCCTCGCCAAAGCAGAGAACTTTGTGGTCTTCTCTCAACGCACTTCTCAGCCCCTCGTTGACTGCTTGACAGAGGTTCAACCGCGTCGAAGAGCCGCCCTGTGGTAGACCAGGCGTGTGTGGAAAGGTCGTTGCGGAGTGATGCAGAAGGGGAGTCTTGCCGAAATCAATGGGCACATTCAACTTGCGGTTCGCCGAGGTTGTCTGGGATGCGTATGAACGGATGGCCGAGCGCGATGTTGACACGGCTAATCGCAGTGGTCTGCAGCGCTGTGACATATTTTTGTTTTTTTTTTCAACTATGTGAGGAGTTCTGAGCAAAACTGTCTCGAGAGCTCCTGAGATACTGGGATTGTATAAGCTTGCATTCCATGTTGCATGTGTCTCGACTCTCATAGTCTTTCCCCGCCTTTTAGGTCGCCATCGTACCCATGCACCGAGTGGCAGTCCCGCACGCGTCGCTGCTCTCGGTCTACCACAAGTCTCCCCGGGAGCATCAGCTCGAAGTACGGCTATCGACGGTTGGCGCTTTGCTGGCAGGTCAGACAATCGATGCTAAGAGTCCCCATTAGAACGTCGAGGTGGAGAATTCCGGAGACTCTCGGCGCACGAACGCCGAAGCTAACCTCATAAGGACATGGAGACCCGGCGAGGCCGGAGATAACTACTCCGGACAATGTATCGACATAATGACCTTCTGCAATCTCGCAGACCAGTCGTCCGTCTTGGTGGATTGCCTTAAATTTCCCATTGACCCGGGTATATGGGGTCAGATTTGTGGGGTTAGCAATGAGTTTGGTCAAAGTAATAACCGGCTCGACAAGTCGAATGACTTGGCAGCACTTCGTGAAATTGGTTCGATAGATTTCCAGTAGAGAACTTCAAACCTTACATCAGCTTCTCGTGGCATGTCGCTTCAAGTTGAGGCCGGCGGACAGAAAAGATGAGAACGTGACGAAAGGGGCGACAGGACCTGCTACGGGGCAAATTGATATAGGGGTGACATGATTTGGCCGAGGAGAGGTTCATACTGCGACTCTGGACCTTGCTTCGAGATAAAAAGCGATGATTTTGAAACGCATACCTCGACAACGGTTTCCTTTCCGATTAATTAGAAGACAGAATCCTTTGGGGTCCCCTACTTTGAAGACCGGTATACATGGATAAGCCAAGCAACGTCTCCCTAGTGACCTTGTGCATGTGATCCGATATCGCTGTGGAGCGTTTCTCCTGCGGTGTTCCTGAATCGCACCGGTCTCTCGAACGAAACCATGGTTTTGCGATATCGACAGGTTGAGAAGCCGGTTCTCTTCGCCGAATCTGATGCAAGTTCTGGGCGAGGTAAGCAGCTAGGATGGCGAGGCTTCTTATATAATTACGGGATATCACGAGCGCATAGATCAACACATTGTTTCTTCATCTCCTACATACTAGTAGCGCGACGCATGATTTCAAGCTGATTCCTAGAGTTGCGGTGGAAGAAGGCGTCAACCTATGATGGGTTACGACTCTGACTCGGGTGACTGGCCCATCCAACCTCTCCTATTGCAGCGCCGTTGCGAAGGGTTGAAATTGAGCGATGTGTGTGATAACGCGTCATGGTCAGGTTCCCCTGCGATTTCAAGGACTTGGGAAGAACCGAGCTGATGCATGGGGAGCATGCAGGTGTGAGTTTCCACCCCAGAGGCGGAGAACCTGAGTGCGGGGTGTGAGCGGAGACTGGAGACCGCTCCACTCTCGGGCCGAACCTCTCCGAGCGAAAATGACTGCACTTGGCGAACATCATCATCCTTAATTAGAAACGAGAACTCGACCTTGACCTGAACTATTAATACCAAACTCACCCTAAGTGTCCTGAGCTCCATACACCGGGGTACCCTGCTTCGAGCCTCTCAGTTTCAGGGGAACAAAAAGGATGTACAGCGAGGGTGGCTTCTACATCTGAAGCTCCTCTCTCAGCGTGTATCACAAGGACTCCCTCACTCTTGGACGACTTCCACATCATCTAGGTCGTAGATCTGACTACCCTCCGTCTCAGCCGGGTCTCCTCAGTCGCTCCCGCCCTTCTGTTCCTCTCTCAGGTCACAGGCTGTTGAAGCAGCCAGACGGATCTCCGGACAAAATGGCTCAATCCGACCGCTCCGACCGCTCCGACCGCATCGTGGAGCAACGAAATGAATGACTTGCTCAAAGGACACAGTTCTGACCACAGTGAGGCGGCCTAGTCGGTCTGTTCCTGAATTGGTTGCTCTCATCTATGAGTGTCAGTCTGTTCTCTTCGAGCAAAACAAGACTCGTGGCACGGCTAGACGAGGAATGGTAGTAGAGGACGATTTTGTAACCACTGGCCAGAAAACGTGAATGGAGCCCGCCCGGACCCGACAAGTTGTCTTGCGCACGTGGAAAATTTACTGAGGAAATTGTGGACAAATTTGAGTAAGTCAGGATGGGATATGTGGGTTGGATGGAAGTTGACGTGATGGTAACACTGAACGCCCAATCCGCCTCATTTCCCAACCAATTCTTCAATGAAGCGTACGCAAGAAGAGCCATGACAGGGCCAGCAATCTTCTCCATGATGGACCCAGCATTCTAGAACTGACTGCATGTGTGCCTAGACAAGCAACCTCCCCATTCCCCACGAGAACATAGGGCGCCCAGTAGAACGGATGCTTATAGTTTGCGCCTTCCGTCTCGATCGTCTCGACCATGCTTCGCAACGCATTTCGGAACCTTTTCGACTGAGAACGGGAAATTAGCGCAGGTCTTTTCGTCCCATCTGGCTGTTTCTGCGCCTTCTCCGCGTCCTGACACTGATCCGCCATTTCCTGGAACGTCGAAATGGCGCTGCTTGCATGTGCCTCGTACAGTTGAAGTTGTGCAGTGCGCCAGCAACGGACGATCGACACCGGCTTAATACCTTCCTTAGCTTTGCTTTCTCTGGCGTCCTTCAGCGCACGGAAGAAATACACCATCAACAATGCGGACGCCTCGTCGCTGACTGACCACAAGGCGCCCAGGAACGCAGAGGCACCAGACGAGAGGACGATATGTGAGAAGCCCAGCATGTCGTTGCCAACAGTCTCTTCGCCCAAGCTGCTAACACAGGCCTCGAAGATGACCAGGGCGGCGCTGCTGCGCATGCGGGACAGATCAAGCACGCGGAACGGTGGGTTCAGCGCCAACGTAGACTGCCATGCGGATTGCTTGTGCTGTGTCCCGTGCGTCGCGATGAACACGACGTTTGACTGTTCGTAGAGGCTGCTGAAGTCTTTGTGTGATGCGACTGTAGTGGGACAAGGGACAGTGTCGAAGGCTCTAGCGATCTGGACAGAAGCGGCGGCTGATAGGGGTAGGGGTCTTGGTCCTTTCGCGTCATTGTACACAACCCCCACTGATCCTTCGATGTCTCTTTGCCTTTTAACCAGGCGACCAAGTGCAGCTAGGCTTGGGCACATTGAGACGTCCTTGGTAAGAAAGAGTGGTTGCCCATCCAAAGTCAAGGCGGAGAACGGGAATTTGTTCAACGACCGCGAGGGAACGAATATGATGTGGTCTCGAGTCTTGAGGTACTGTGAGATGGATTCGACGATGATGTTGGAGATATCAATCAAAGCTTCCTGACAACTTGAGAGATCTGGCATCTTCCCATTTTCTCCATCTCGAAACAGTTGCAGACAGCGAAAGATGTGTTTTTCCACTTCAATGTCGGTGATCTCGTCGAAGCGGATATTCTCGATGCCGCTTGAGTTGATGCATAGTATGAGCAGTCCATCTCGAGAGATGTTGACATGCACAACCGGAGCATCTGTGGCAATCGAGTTGTAGATCATCTCGTTGAGACTGGCGGTCACCTCAACGTCTGGGACAAGCTTAGTCAGGCTGATTGGTTCGAGCTCTGCCTTCAATCTAGCTTGGATTTCCCCAAGATATTCATGTTTCGTCTCAGCGGCATCAGTAGTGGAAGATTCGGTTTGGTCGAGCTGTCGTGAATGAGTGCCAAAAGCCATGAGTTCGTGCTCCCTCAATTGATACGAATATTCCGACCAGTTTTGTAATTGTTCGCGGTCTGTAGCCTGTTCGGCAATGAGAAGGTCGAGAAGCGCTCGCGAGTGACCCACGTCCAGGAATCGAAGAACTTGTTCCTTCCATTGGGCGGGCGTCAGTTGCCATTGATCAAGATCGATGACAGGTTCTTCTTGATCTTCCGACTGAGAGAATAGCCACGCAACACGCGCAAGCCCAAAAAATAGCTCGCTTGAATGGATCGTGTCGTACATATTGCGGCGTTCATTGATGTCCGCCAAGCGCTTGTAGTTCGTTTCCACGGTCTGGAAAGCGTCGATATACCAAGTCAATGCAGACATGAGGTTGCCTGAGTGCTCATGTATGCATCCAATCCAAAACATGTCCATCCAGTCGTGCGGGCCAAGAGCGCTCCTGATTTCGTTCAAATAGTCAGGAATCGTCTGTTCCACCTGGCCGAGGAGTTTGAATCTCAGTCCCCACTCTTTAGTAACGAAACACAGAGATATATACCTCTGTGCATCTTGTCTCCGTTTTTGAGACGTTAATCCGGAAATATCAGGAGCTGAATTCCAGCGATAGAGTCATTTCCGCCTTGTCCTCCCAGCCACCGGGGCATGGTCAACGGAAGAAGCTGGCGTGCTATGTCAAACTCACCTAGCTGCTGAAGTAAGACAATTTGGTATGTGTCAACTTCGGAAGAGCGACAGGGGAGCCTGACAGTCTCGATCCGCAGGAGTGCTTGCTTAAGGCAATCGTCTGCTGCGTCTATGTCTGCATCCATGCGTGATTTTGTCCGACGTCCCTCATTAGCCTCCTGAAACATTGCCCGCAGTGGTGCAACCAATGTTTCTATCCTCAGAAGCTCATCCGCAGACGCCTTCAAGGATGGATCTGTTGACAGTGTGAGGACAGCACATTCAACATGGCCTCGAGAGACGATTCCCCTTGCACAGCGTCAGCTGGGTTTTGTACATTAGATCTGGCCATCTGGCCGGAGCTAGAGATAGATCTAGCTAGGCTATTGAAACCACTAATGCAATTGGCACGAACCGATTTCAGAATATGCCGATGGTCTGGAGTGTCCGTGTGTGCTAAGAGACGCTCAATGTGGTCGGCAGCCTGATTCAGGAGGGTTCGGCCATGTTCAATATGCGCAATGGCCGTCGGAACGTTGCCACTCTTGCATTGAAATGCAGCGAGAGAGACAACCGCGCTCAACTGCAGGTAAGGATCTCTGAAGGCGTAGCAGCAGACCTCGGCGCAATAACAACAAATCAGCGCTTTCTGCCTGCCGGATGGGAGAAGGGAAAATTTGCGACCAAGCCGGAGCAAGAGCATCCCGAGAAACTGGGAAACACTGACATTATCAATTGCCCGGCAACGATCACCAATCTGATAAGCCTGACTCAAAACATCCTGATGCCTGTCACTGGTAATATTAAGCATCAAGATGTGACCGGACACTATGAGGGAATGCGTGTTGTCTCCAGAAAACAGTTGAACGGCATTCTGCAAGTGTTCGCGGGCATTCTCAAGCAACTGAGCAATGGATCCGTCGGTTGCTCTTCTCATTCCATCGATAGCTTGAACGTGGTCTATGCAAGCATATCGGAGGCTTACTGCTCCCATCCCAGCATGGGATCCAGCTGCTTCAAATAAATGATATGCTTCGACGTAGCATGATCTTGCTAAATCGGCGTTTTGAGGAGCGAGAGACGTTTCAATAGAATCCATTGCGGCGTTATCCCAGCCCAGGTCTCGTCCGTGTGGCACCAAGTTCAGGGCTACCGGGCTTGTGAAAGGCAAGGAAAAATAGTTGTCGCCCTGAACCAACTTGACATTCGCCTCACCAACGAAATCTTCTTGTCGGATGTATAGAGCTTCCAGGTCTTGAAGAGCAGCTGTTGCATTTTTCGAAGCGCCAGCCAACAAGTATTGCAAGGTTAGCTTCTTCAAATAAGCCGCGGTCTTTGTGAGTCCTAAGTCGTGTGCACTGTCAATGGTGGCTGGAGAACAGGGTTCTGCGGAATCGAACATAATACCTAGAAAGTGGTCTGGGTACCGTGGATGATGTTCGAACGCTTGCATCAAGAGGTAGGAATGGAAATCAGAGATGTCGTAAATGACATGATATTCCAACTTATCAAGTTGGTTCTGGATTTCATTCCTGAGGTGTGCTTTCTGGTTGATCTGGCGTCTCCGGGAGTCTCGAACCGAAAGCTCATAGTCCCTGAGCACGCCAATTTGGTTATTCCTACCTGTGCAGAATCGTAGGATTGGCGGCACTCTCTTCAGACAAGTGATATAAAAGCTGTACGCATCCCATCGAAACGGCCATGACGGTCCAAGTTCACGATCTGGGAGCTGTGATAGTCGATTGAGGCAACCATCTGCCCTGGCGAGATCTCCACTCATAACAGAGTGAATGAGTCGCAAAAGAATGGTTGAAGCTTGGTCTCTAACATCGGGCGACAGGAGGATTGCTGTTTCAAGTTCAGTGATCCTCCGATCAGAATCCTGCAGGGCAACTCTGTACTCATCCGGAAAAATGGTGCCACCGAAGAAATCAGACACCTTCTTGAAATCCATTGAAGTCTTCGATCACTCGATTATAGACTCTGAAGCTGCCCCAAAGGGGACTGCCTCGTGCCAAGACCATTTCGCTTGAAAAGCTTCGAGTTGGAGTTCGCCCTTCATCAATACTCTGTTCGAAAAATCGGGATTTTGAACCATGGTCCCTTTAATAGAGGGAAGGTCGAAGGGCTTAAAATGGCCGAGGAGCTTTATGCCAGGATCTGGTGGCCTATGCTGTTTTTAAGATGATCCAAGCCACCTCACCGACGCACCTAGACCCCGACGAAGCGGTGACAGGCAGGCTCAACGACGCATTAGGCCGGGCCTAGAGCGAATACTGTAGGTAGAGTAGAATAATGGTCTTAAAATAGGGCTTTCGAGGTCGGAATCTGGACACGAGGACTTTCCATTTCCATCTCTGGACCTGAGCGTAGCCCTAAGCCTCGCCGCCTCAACCTAAGATGCTCCTACACGTGACTAAGCATGGTGGTAGCCGGCCTGAGCAACGGATCAATCGCGCCCACAATCTGGGCTAGGGGCCCGGTTCCCGGCACCCGCCTATAGTTACTAATTTATCGTCTCTGCTCTAGTCTATAGTATCTATAACTTAGCACCCGATTTAAGTTAACGTAATGATTATAAAAGTTCTCTTTCTCTAAATTAATTAGTTTAGATTAAGCTTCACTATTATTCTACTCTTCTCTATAGTTTCGTATCGCTACGAGAATATCGAGTTAAAAGTGCTTTATTGCTTAGATATATTAGCGCTTACGCTATTATTTTAACGGTAAGATAGATCTAGGTAGAGAGGATTAACGAAGAGCGGATAACCTAGCTTATTATGGTATCTTTTTTTTTCTTACGAGTTCGGCTACTCTTACTTTATAATATAGCTACTAGATAGCTAAGATTAAATTAGACTCTACTATTTATCGCTACTATCGTAGATTATTAACTAAGTCTCACTATTTCGATTTATCTATATTAACTAGCTTAGTAAATAACGTATACCCTACGAGCTAGAATAGATATCTTAACTAAAGGGCTCGTTTATCGTTTTAAGAATAGAAAAGATAGTTATAAAGAAGAGTCTTATATAGATAGTCATCGATATACGTTCTAGTGAGCGCGTAAGCGTCTTATTCTAATAATAGAGATACGACGGAATTCTAGCTAGTGATCTAATATAGTGAATTTTATCTATACGAAATAGAGTGTACTAAGTAACTTTTAGACTAAAAGATTAATTTATAATATACACTAAGGTAGCGAAGATCTATAATAAATAATACTAAACCTTAATAAGAGCTTAACTAAGCGAACCGGTGACGGAGAATTACCGTAAAGTATACGACCTTAAGATAAAAGTAAAGATATGAGCACTCGTCACTAGAACTCTCGGGATTCGAGTGATATAGAGTTGAGCTCTCCCGATATTAAACGGGCTAGAAGAGATATCTTCTATATTTCCGTCGGCGATGATAAAGGTAATAAAGATAATAACGACGTTAACTATAAGAATAAGAGTAGTAATCTTCTATCTCTCTAAGAGATCTTTAAATAATATAATATATAATTTAGAATGAGTTATACGACGTCTCTAACTTAAAGGTCTCTATATATACACTAACTAATCTTTTAGTGAAAGGCCGAGATTATCTAGATTAAATAATTTTAGAAAACCTCTATAGTAATTATATTATCGTCTCCGATACCGAAATCTAGTTATTAGTGTTATTTAGAATCTTCTATATCGGCCTAATTTATCTCTAAGTTTTTTTATCTTTAGTGAGTATCGTAAACGTATATTAAATTGTATATATTGTGTATTTATTATGGCCTACCGAGATATCGACTTATGACTAAGACGCGTAGTTAAGTAGGGCGCTACTATAGATATCGTAGTAGAATGTATTAATGACTTAAACGCACTTTAGGAGGAGTATCGGAAAATAATTTTCATTGCTAAAGTTATATTCTCACCGCGTACTGGCACTATATATACTTTATATCTTAATTATTAAACGTTTCTAGCGGCGAGGTTATACTTAGTTAAATATAGTTATATAGACTAGAAATTAGCGCGGGTAAGATAGACTTATACTAGTAAAACATTAAATTATAATTATTTCTTCGCTACTAGAATAGAGACGTTTCATATAAGGACGGCTATATAAAGAATATTAAAATAAAGTGAACGGTATTAACCTTATAGAAATTAATTAGTAGACTTAATAATAACGTCTATATACGGCTAATAGAATCGGTAGAAGCTATATAGACGTTTATTCTTAATAGCGAGCTAATGAAATAGAATAGAATAGCTCTAATATACGGGAATTTTAGCGACGGTAAGAGCGTAGAAGCCATTTACTACCGCTTAGATATTAAGAGTATAGAGAAACGAGCTATAGAGTCTACTAGAATACGGGATATATAAAGAGAATAAGTACCTAGTAAATCTTCACCCCGTCTCGTAGATAAAAGCGACGTAAAGGCCCCGCGATCTTTATCATTAGCTAGCGTAAAGCTTTCGATCTTTCGATTATTTAAGTATCTAAGCTATACGTAGTATCGATTCGCTAAGTTTTATCGAAGAGAAGAAGATGCTATATTATATTCTTATCGTAGTAAAGGGTAAGCTAATAAATTCGTTATCGGGTTACTTTCGCGAAATTAGTTCCTAGTATATTGTTTAAACTTAGAGTTTCTCGCGGAGCGATATTCACTATCGGCGTTATATACTGTAACAAGGCAAGGTGGCTGTGCTGTGATGGGCTGTGCTGGGCTGGTAGAGCGGTGGCAGGGTGAAAAAGTTGTCTAGTCACATGTCAAACCTAAATGGGCTGGCAGAGAGGAGGTGCGGAACAGTTTACAGTGCTGGCAGTGAGCCATTCATTTTTTACAGATTGAGCAGAGTATTATGAATTCCATGGCTTTTGGTGCCGTCTACCTAAATCCTGAGAGTGTTTTATCAGTCCTGTCCTGTTCCTCGATGCTGCCGCTGTGCTAGGTGTTCGTAGCCCTAGCCGCTGCCTCTCTGGGTGGTGTTGGTGGTGTTGTTGTCAGTATCAACCAGAAACGCGTTCTCGATTCCCGATCTGCTGGACAGGCCTCTGTGCGTTGTTGCACGTGCACGTCAAACCCTGAAGTGCTCTGTTACAATACTAGCGGTAAAGAATTCGAAACTTTTAGCTAGGGAGTGCTTAACACTCGTTATTTAATAATTTTAAGAGGAGAGGCTACGTTAAGTAGTTAAAATACTAGTAAATATAGATTTAAGTAAAAATAGAAGAGTTTCTTAAGTAAAATATACTTAAGATTATACGTTAAGAAAGCGAGATTCGTAGAATAGTATTCTAGGCCTATAGAGCTTTAGTATATTAGCTAGCCTACGAGGATTATTATAAAGAAAGTAGCTAATGGCGCTAAGAAAGAACGTTTAGATTATAAATATAGTACTCTTCCGATTATAGAGATAGTAAGAATATAGCTAGTAGTATAGATTAAGTATATATAGTTATTATATCACCGTATTATAGTTCTTTACTCGTAAGCCGTCTATATATAGAAAGGGACTTTAAGGTACTAAAGAAGTAGTTTTAGTAGATTTAGTGAGAATTATATAGTTGTTAAGAAGCTCTACGGTCTAACTATTCGCTTTTTATATAATGTTATATATTATTTAGCTTAGGCGCTTAAGTTTCGACCGCGACTATACTCTCGCTAGTAACTATATAAAGATATCTATTTCTTTCACTCTTATTTCGAGTAACTATAGTATAACGAGATAGTATTATAGCCTAGAAGATCGGAAGATAGTTTACGAAGCTACTATATTAAGATTATTTATTCGCTTCTTTCTTTAGTACTCGACTTACCCGTAAAGGAGAACGTCCTTAGAGTATTAAGAAGAGATAAAAGTAAAACTCTCTTCGACGGAGTGTCCGTTTAGACTACTTAGTTAAGAAGACTTAACTAAAAGCTAGAGAGTAGTCTTTACTATCTTTCGTTAGCGATATTAAAAGTTCTAATATAAGTCGCTAACGTTATTTCGTAACGAAAGATTAATCTAATAAAGCGTATATATATACTTTATTACTCTCTACTATTAAAGTCTCCGAAGCGGAAACGAGAAACTAAATAATAACTAAACTTACTCTCTTTAAAACGACCGCGAATATCTTATTCTAGCCTCTCTATTTAGAACGTAGATTCTATTATATATTAAACGTAGATATATTACTAGCCGCGAAAGTACTTTAATAAAAGAAGCGGAATAAGTTACTTATTAACGAGAAAGAAATCCGCTATCTCTCTTCGCCGAAAGCGGTCGGATAGCGAGTCTAGCGTACTTAGCTTAAATACACTAAGTAACTAGAAGCTTAGAGAGAAGAAGAGTGCTTCTTATTAAGATCTACGCTATAACTCGCTTCTCGAGGCGAAAGGTAGTTTTATAGATAAGTATATTAGCCGGAGTAAAGAGAGTTCTTTAATAATAAGTAAGAAAGAGTATAAGTTCTTACTCGAAGCTAAGTAGATAATTCCCGAATATATTTTATTTTACGATGATTTCTTCGAGGATATCTACGAGATAGTATAGAATAAAAACGAAGTAAAGGTTATTTAGGATATCGTAAGATTTATAGTTTCTTTCGCGTAGTTATTAGCGATTTAAGGGGCGAAGTATTTAAGATATCTTATTAAGAGCGTTAACGAGAGATAAAATAATTCTATTTTAGTTATTATAATACGATCTTAACTAGACTATTCTATAAGATTTAAACGCTCGGTATTTATAGAAGATTAACTTTAGAAACTTCAGCTATTCGTGAGCGATCTCTTCGATAATTTCTTCTTTATAGAAATATAGTATATATACTTTCTTTTCTTCTCAAGCGAAGTAAAGTACGGTGCGGCCGCACTTAACGTAGTAGATCGATAGAACGCGTATAGTATAACTCTCGCGGTTCGAGGAGTCGTGGAATTATTTCGGCTCGTAAAGCGCGAATAAG